TAACAGAAGTGAAAACATCACAGGAGACAAAACAGTTAATCAAAAATCCAATCATAGTCCATGTAATTTAGCAAATGGTAGAATCTGTGAAAGGGCAGTATAACAGTTATGAAGAGTGACTTGAATGTTAAGATAGAATCAGATAACACAGGTTATGAAGAGATTATGGGAAAACATGGATTAGAAGTAATGAATAAAACCAGAGAATTATTTACTAATTTTTGTGCAGGAAACCAGTATGTTTTTGGTGGAAGCATTCTTCCCCATAAAAGAATACATAACCAACCAAACAGATCACATATGTTTTAACAACAAATTTAGATCTTTTTATGAATTTAGGACTTTCAGAGGTGTCGATGTATTTACTGACCATTTTCTGTTGGTAAGTAAAATCAAGTTGAGACTTAAAAGATATAACATCAGCTCTCCTTCAAACTTCTACCCCATATTATGGTGGCCAAACAAATACCCTAACAGGGCCTCAGTCCTATGCAAAATGCAGAGAAACTAGGATCCGCTATGAATAACGAAACAAATGCTCTAACAGGGTTTCAGCGATGTGTTAATTGCGGACCTGTTTCTGTGACTATGCCGCAATGCCGACAGTATCCAACGTGCCGCTATGCGCGGTGCGGATGGGGAGCTAAAATAGATAGCTGGGACTGCAACTTCTAATTTGTTTGCTCGTGAGTCCTAGGCATGTAGCGGCGCAGGGGAGACACTCGGCAGTGAGTTTAATCGGAAGAACACTATCGCTAATCTGCGTCGGAGCACGTGGTCTCCCCACCATGTAGCTATTATCGTCTGTAATATTGCATGTCTCGAAATTGTCAATGGTCGTTAGCATCGTCTGCTAGTATTGTCTGCAGAAACGCTCATCGGAGGAAGTCCACATTTTACACACGACTGAGGCCCTGTCAGGGTATTTGTTTGGCTGCCATAATATGGGGTAGAAGTTCATAGAAACAAGTATGTAGATTATCTCAGGGATAAAGAAGTTGAGGAACAATTTTCACTTGCAGTCTCTAATAAGTGCCGGGTGTTGCAGTAGTTAGCGACTACGGACGCGCCTCCGTTACGTGACGTCCGAATAACGATGACGTCACCGATCTAGCAAAAATTTGCGTACGGAAAACATCAGCGGGATTCGGGGTGCCCTAAATTCTTTTGAAAAGCACGCCAAATCACGGGGTTTCCCTAGCTATAAATAGCCCGAACGTCAGATGTTACATTCAGTTAGACAGCACATGGTGAGTGGAGTTTGTGGTTGGCGGTCTGTTTTCGTTGTTCTCTTGTGAATATATAGCTACGTTCACCATATCAGAATAAAGCTTTGAGATAGATTGCATAAATTTACTAGTGATAATTAGATTCATCAGCCATTTATATATTAGTGTGTAAAATTTCATAACTCTAAATGATTGGTAGAATTCACAGTGCAGTTTAGAAGTTCATCAATTGAAAGTCCAATTCTAGTGGCATGCCATCCTCCATTTTGAATAAATCGATAATCCTCTTAATAGTCACCAGACTCTACCTAGCTAAAGTGCATATTTAATTACTTTTTCGTACATTATGTCACATTTTAACAACACTGTTTGAAGCCTGCAAATTATTTCAGTATTTTAAATGGAAGTTTGGTATTATTTATTGATGTGGTTGGTTTTTTCATAGGGGCGCCAATAACTAGTGTGAACTAGCATTTTGAAAAATTTCATTTATTTATTTGATTTATATTACGGTTATATGCTGACTTGCAGAACTATTGTAGTTATTTTTGAAATCTCTATCCATTTTTACAATTCTCTGGAAAATTGCACCTCTTATAATGGTTGGAGCGATTTCTAAATTGCGATTTTAATAAGATGTGTGTTAAAAAACGAATGCGTGGTCAGTCTGCCAAAAGCACGTTGCCATAGCAACAGTGCAACGCTTCATAATTCATTACTTTAACTATAATAAACATTTGCTAAAAAGTACCTGTTTCTCTACTCTCTCTCAACAGTTTTCAGTTAGTATTACAAACATTTAGAATTATTAGAGTGGAAATTACTTATATTTAAATTGTTTTAATTAATAATCAATTAATTTGTGTTTATTCTAATATTATAAATTATAAAAATAAAATTATGTAATAGTAGTAATACAATACAGTTCAATACTGTATTTTTTCTTTACTAATTAGACTCACTGATCTCTTATATATCTGTAATTACATTATTTTTTATACACACACATTATATATAATATATATATATAAAAACAGGAAATATCATTTTCAATCATTGTCATTGCCACAACATAACATCATAACGAATAATTTTTTTGTGTGCACAGATCACTGTCTCACAATGGCAAATAAAACCGCTAGCGATATGAGAGCGCATCTGGCAAAATATCAATCCCAGCATCTTCAAGCGCTATGTCGGGAATCGTTTGAATGTCATGTTCCATATGGCAGCGGTCATTTATTTGCACAGAGATTTATTGACACAGTTTGTCGAGCACAAACGGCCATAATTACTTTGTGTTAAAATACATGAAAACTTGACAGACGAGAGAGTCCTGCTTCACTTGCAGGTGCTGGGATTATATTCACGTTTTGTCACAGGGCCTTGGATGCAGCTGTTATATACAGACAACAGTGAAATTGGTCATTTAGAAGCAGTAAGTAAGGTGAAGGATTGTCTCGAAGGCTTGAAGATAGTTGCAGCGAAACCAGAATACCTTATAGAAACGGAACGCAATGCTTTTGGTAGGGATTTGCGTAAGACAGCATTGAACCAACCTCAGTTTCCATGTGAAAATTTTAACTTAGTATCCAAAAATTTAGCGGATGCTTTTATTCAAACACTTAATAGGCAGTTTAAACCTTATTTAGATGGGCCCTTATCTAATCCGTCTCCTGAATTGATTAAAAAGACATCATCTGCAGAATTACATAACATAGGGGCTGAGAGAAATCTTGCAAGGGTGGATTCAGTGATGCAAAAAGCTCCCAATGCCACCATGGGGTTCATTGACGCAAAGGTGAAGGCTGCCCAAAACAAAACATTGCAATGGCTGCAGACATTTGATGACGACTTCCAAAAGTACCTGATAGACTTTGCAGTTCGTCGTGGAGCTAAGGTGAGGCAGCAGCAGTCTGAGGTACAGAAGAAATGTCAGCAGGAAAAATTAGAGAAGTTGGACAAGGCACTTAGGGATAAATGTGAGAGAGATCTGACAGCAGAATTTTAAAAATCCAGGTCCATGTTTGCAATACTTGAGATAGATTTGTTTAAAAGTGTAGCTGAGGAGTCAAAAGATATGTTAAGGAATTTTTTTAGTGACACTAATGCTCTGTCAGGTGTGTTACTTGCGGCACATCTGGAATGATGGAGAAAAGGACTGTGTTTACTTCGAGATGATAAGAAATGTGGACACAAAGAAAAGTCCTCTCAACACGGAAATCGAACTTTGTTCTTGGAAGGAGCACGAGGAACAAGCAGCAGAGACCTCCTTCACCTTGACAATGAAACAGTTTCTAGCTGACTTCGCCACTGGAGATTTGACATTTTGTTAAACTGAATGTCATATACATAAAACAAAGCAATAGAAATAAATTAAGCATTTGTATGTTAGAGTAATAAAAAAGTCATGTAACACTCTCTTTTATCTTGCATTGTTTAACAATTTAATAAAGCACATTGTCTAGTATTATTTCAGAACAGCGTCAGGGATGATACAGGCTTCTAAGGGTAGAAGTAAAGAAAGAAGTAAAGTAAAAATTTGCTCTGGATATATATAATATACCCACAGCAAATAGTTTTCCCATATAACAAAAAAAAAAAACATCAAAATTTTTTTAAATTAAAATATTTTTTCATGATAATTGGCGGCCATTTTTAAATAATATTAGTCGATATGATGTAATACCTAAAAATTTTCAGTTATTCAGTTAGACATTGCTGCCCTGAACACAACAGTATCTGTTATCTTTGGTCTATTTTTAATACTTTAAAAGACCGTTATAAAGTTTACGAGAACATATCGACTGATGATTATGATAAATGGCGGCCATTTTGAATAATTATTAGTCGATATTGCGTAACTACTAAAAATTTTATGTTTATTCGGTTAAAGCTTGTTGCCCTGAATCCAAAAATATATAGTTTCTAGGGTCTTTTTTAAATACTTTATACGTTAAAGCAGTTTTTAAACACTGCTCTAAAACTTCTGATTTCTGGGCAGCAAGTTTCAGCTCACTTTTATATTTTCTTCTTTGTTAACTTTTTCCACAAAAACTTCAATAACTCTGCTTAGACTTGACATAGAGGCATGAAAGAGGCACCGTTGGAAAGGGTTTTTCAATACCGATACAGCTGTACTTGTTTTATGAAGATAAAACGATTTTGAAAATTTGACCAAAGTTGCTACAGTAGTAAGCTGAAATAAACAATGAAATCTGCTGGGATCAAATCAAGGAAATCTAGATTGAATCTTGTGTAGAAGTCCTTGGTTAGACATAACAAAAACATAAAATGTTAATATCTCGGCTTAGAATCGACTTACAGGCTTCACTGGGGTATCGTTGGATTTTTAATTTTAATCTCTATCTACCTATGATGGTTTCATAAGTAAAAACCTAAAATATAAGACTTCACTAGCATCCCTAGTATAAATATTAAATGTTATTTATTTGTTATTTTTATTTTTTCACATCCAATCATTTTCACCTTCATAAACTCATCTTTATCGAAGCATAAGGAAGCAGGCCCTGAAGGAAGCATAAAGCCTTTCCCTGCTGCATCGACAGTCATAATGAACAGTAGTTATTCGTTCTTCCCTTGGACATCAATGAGAAAATTGCAGCTGCAAGTCTAACTGTTGTTGTGGTCAGTTACGTCGTCAAACAAGATCCATCTTGAGAAGAGTTTCCGCCCCTGGCGGAAGTCAGTAAAAAGAGCTATTCTAGAATCTCGGAGAAACGAATCATTTTAAGAACGCAAATAACAAGAATGGCCTCTGATCCGAATCAAGCTGATCAAGACACGTCGCGATTTCGTTGTCTAGCTCCTGGTTTCGAGCAGTTTAAATTTAATGATGAAGGTTTACCAACCAGAACATCTCACGAACAGGTAATTTCGTTTTAACTGTGAAGAGTTAACCGTAAATGAATGCAAACTTCAAGCAAATTTATGCAGAAATAATTGTTTATTATTATTGTCGTGACAGCAGCCGACAGATATCAAGACAACTACGAACGTATAAATGCGTAGCTTCATTAGCAGCTGCTGTAGTATGAGCATTGCTACAGTTGTAGTCTTTTGTAATGCTTTGTTTGCCTAGTAAATTATTTAGTGTGAAATATATTCATACATGCGTTTATTTATAACTATCATCATGTTACATTATTATTTTTTTTTTTTAATTTAAAAAATTTTTTACTGTTGACAGAAACAAACAGCTGCAAAGTGCAGCTGTTTGTCAGTATACTAATTTCTCTGGTTTTTTCTTCTTATACACGTTCACTGGCTGTAAAGTAAACTCTGGCGGAAAGTTCTGGTTGTTCATCCACTTCTGGACTCCAGTCCTGTTTCAGAACCTGAGTGTTGCGTGTGCATCGGCCTGGTTATTTGGGTCCTTTTTTTTAAAAAGATTTTACTCATCTTTTGTTTGTTTTGCAGGCCTTTATATATTTGTTGTACAGTTATGATTTTCCCACTTTGTGATCTCTTGATTACTCTGTAATGTTGACGAATAGTAATTTCTGTTTTCCGTCCTCTTTTGTTTGTTTTGTTACAGAAACAAGTTGAAGACAGCATTTTGAAATGTTACAGAAGTTTTATAACATCATTAGATATTTACCCTGAGTAAGTACCTTTTTGTTTTATTTATTTCATTAAAATGTATTTATGCTAGTCATGTTTAGTATTAAAAACATATGGTGCTTTTGTTTAATCTAGCTTTTAGTATATGAGCCAGTGCTTAAGATGTAACCTTACTTTTATGGCAGTTTATTTTTTAAAATTAGCCATAACATAAGCTTTTTCAGAGTGTTGCAGTACTTCCTTGTAAATATATATTTACTTTGTGAGGTATTGCTCCCTTGAACACTAGTTAATAGTGCCAACTTTGAAAAGATATTTCCAGCAAAGAAAATAATTTGCACAGAGTTCGGACAAATAGGGAATTCTGGGCTATCTTCGAAATAACAGTCCCAAATTACCGAGGCTGAAAATATACCCTAACAGGGCCTCAGTCACATGTAAATTGCGCACTCCTGCCACTGCCAAGAGTATCTCCCACGCCGCTACGTATGGTGCTAAACTAGATGGCTGGGACTCACGAGCAAATAAAATGAAGGAAGCTGCAGGAGATGCGGTAGCTGCTGCTACGTAGCGGCATGTCAGATACTCTTAGCGGTGGCGGTAGTCACCGGAAGTGTGCAATTTAAGCCGCCGGAAGCCCGCAATTTACATGTGACCAAGACCCTGTTAGGGTATATTTTCGGCCTCGATAATTTGGAACCGTTATTCGGAAGATAGCCAAATTCTGATATCCTCACATTTCTGCATTAAAATTAATCTGTAAAGTTGCAGCAAAATGTTTCAATAATTGTAACGATATTTGTTGATAAGTCCTGTAGACAGGAAGCAGCCAGCTGAACCACCTGCTGCTCCTCAGGGGCGCCGAAAACCTGGGGAGCTCATGCATATGGTCTTAAGTGCAGTTTTTGTGGAGACCTCATGGGGTCATCACCGGAGCTATGGAGTCTGTGTTTTGTGCGAACTCTCAGCAGTTGGCTAGCAATTCTACAGAGACCACACCATATATAATAACTTGGGGCTATGAAATTGACCCTCTCAGCTTTAAGGAATATTTGTTTATCCTTTTCCCTTGTTATTAAAGGGGTCTTCTTACACCAAATGCAAGATGATTGCATATGACAGGACTATTCCCTTAAGGTTATGCAGGGGCCAAAACATTGAACAATCGTTGAGAAATCCTTAGTACACTACAGTTGGCAATAACCCACAGGAAACTTGTTAGGCCTGTGCAGGCTGGATTCAGTCTGCCGAATAACCCTAGCTTGATCAGTTCCTTGGTTGCTGTGTCTTTTCCCCTGCATTTTCATATCTCATTTGAACAAATCTTCGATTTGTAGCTGTGACTGTCGTTTCCCCCCCCCCCCCCCCTTTTTTTTTTCAGTTGCCCATAATGTTCTTTGGAATACATCCACCAGAGATAAGGTTTTGTTTGGTTAAACAAATTTTTTTTAAATTTATGCTGGTTGACCTGTAATTTTTAGACATCAGTAAAGTCTGTTGAAGTTAAATTTGATTTATTATCTGGGGATGAAGTAGAGCTATTAAACTATTAAAATGGTTATAGAATTGTTGAACTATTACTATCTGTAGACTGAGTAACTTGTGTTGCAGATTTTGTAACTATTGCTATCTTTGGAATCGTCATCATCAATCAGCAAGTCCTTTGCAGAACGTCACTTTTTTCACGGCATACCTGAAAGTATTCCTTTCCCTAGCCAGCTCTCCAGCCCATTGTGCTTTCAGTGCCAATGTTTCTTCAGTGTCTTGTGTCCATCTTTGCAGTGGTCGACCCCTGCTTCACCTTTCTCAGACTGCACCGTCTATCACTGTCGCCACCATGATGAGGTTTCTGAAGCCACCATGATGAGGTTTCTGAAGCCACCATGATGAGGTTTCTGAAGCCACCATGATGAGGTTTCTGAAGCTACCATGACGAGGTTTCTGAAGCCACCATGACGAGGTTTCTGAAGCCACCATGATGAGGTTTCTGAAGCCACCATGACGAGGTTTCTTAAGCCACCATGATGAGGTTTCTGAAGCCACCATGACGAGGTTTCTGAAGCCACCATGACGAGGTTTCTGAAGCCACCATGATGAGGTTTCTTAAGCCACCATGATGAGGTTTCTTAAGCCACCATGACGAGGTTTCTGAAGCCACCATGATGAGGTTTCTTAAGCCACCATGACGAGGTTTCTTAAGCCACCATGACGAGGTTTCTGATTCTTTGGAATCAAACGGAAAAACTGACATAAAAACCCAGTTACCTAAGGCTAAAGATAAATTCTGCTTATCTTCGTTGCCTGCATTTACCCTTAAAAGAGTGGCTAGCTGTTGTGGTTTACAGCTAGGCTGTGATGCTGGACCTTTAGTCTCAACACATCAAATTTCAGCAAATCCCTAATTATGTCATGCTTGATGGAAAAAGTGCACCCCCCCCCCCCTCTCCCCCCCCCCCTACCCTGAAACCCATATAAGGATTTCTACTTATCATTTTCCTGTTATGCTTGTTTATCCCAAGTGTTCCCTTCCTTGAGAGAGAGAGCCATGTTGAATTCTTACTCAAGGGACTCAAACAGCTGTCATCATCTTATGAGGTAAATCATATTTTTTAAATAATTTTCCTGTTGTGTGACATGTTTACTGTTGCACATCTCCATGGGATAACTGTACAAGCAACAGTGAATGGAGAGGAACTTATCACAATGTCATCCACAAGGCAAGCATTACTTCCTGTCACATTCTTTGAGTGCACATCCATTTTAAAGATCTGGCTTATTTGTATGCAGACCTGATTCCTCACCTCTCAGGTGGATGTACTCTAACTTTGGAGGAAACTCTCTTAATTAGTTGCCTTGTGTGACAGGCTTGTTAGGGAATCAGTGGGTCTGGAATGGCGGCTCAGGAACCCACATGGGCAAGTGTAGGTATACGTTAGAGAAGCCACTGGCCGAATGTTGAGACTGATGTCTTTTAAAATGGAAGATCATATTGGTCCTCTATAAGGGATGGAGTTTTTTCCTCTTGGAGCAAAAATAAGAATCTTAACCTGCACAGTTAACAGTCTTACAAAGATTCTTTGGACCCATCACTGATGTAAACGGTGGGGAGTAAGAGTGAGAAGCAACAACACAATTTATATTCTGTTCTAAATCACTGGCATCATGAAGACTAATAGACAGAATTGGCTGAGGCATGTTAAGAGAATGTTACATGACAGAGACGTAACATCTGGGTACACAAAAGCATCAAATGGCCATAGACCACCAGGAGACAATGAAGACGGGGGAGAGATAATATACAGACAGACTTGCAAACACTTGGAGTCACCATTTGGGAAAAGAGGACAAATCCAGAGATGAATAGAGGTTTGCCGGCTCGCTAGCATAGTTGGCTAAACCAGACTGAATGACGAACTCCTCGTGGTCCAGGTTCACGCTGAGGGGTTGGCAGAAAAGCCACATTCCTCCCAGATTTATGGTATCTATCATGAAATCAAGACCGAAGAGTTGTGATATCCATAGTACCGAGCCAAAGGGTTAACAACTCATGGTTTCTGGAATACTCAACAACAACAAAATAGAGTCACCTGATCTCTGCATTATACACCATCCTAAATGTGCTAAATGCTAGCTGTACAGAGAGTTATAATGACTGCTCACAAAAAGAGATGTTCTCTCCCTAGTGCTTGGACTCAAGTCGCCCCTGGCTGTGCTACTGGATCCTACACAGTCTGGAGCTGTTGGAAGCACCCATCACTGAAGATAAGGCTCTACAGTATGTTCTGCTAGTGTTGTGTGACTTTTTATCAATGTTTGTTGGTATACATTTGTGTGGATTGTCATCATCAAATGCCTTGCTGGCATGCGTGACCATGTCTCTTTATCAGTTAAGTGTGATGCTCATCTGTGCAGTTGCTGTAAAGCAAGTAAATGTAGCTGCATTTCTTTAACTTTTCTGATGCACTGTTTCACACAAAGCTTACATAATGAAAGAAAATTAGAAACGAAATAGATAATACATAATTTGTATAATATTAAAAGATCTGTTTTATGACTGTTAAACCTTTTTTATGACTGTTAAACCGGTTTTATGACTGTTAAACAGGTTAGATATTGTGAAGGCTCTTTGGGAATGGGTGAACATTGCCGAAGCGCAGGAACATCTGAGAAGAATGGCACAGCGAGGAGTTACTAATGGATCTGGCTGACGCTCAACACTCGGGGGAAGGATGAGACGGATAATCAATCAGACGGTTACTGGTACCATCGGAATTGGAACTCTTCGCTTGCTGCTGAAGATGGGAACTGAGCACTTATTGGGGTGTCCCGAGTGCTGTGGTGTCGATTCTTAATTCAACATTCAACATTGTTTGTTAAACCTACAATTTTGTAGATCAGTCAGCGCTTAATGGGTGATGTGATCATCATCATGCCAGCTGCCTTTACTTCCCAGGACGCCCGGTTCTCTAGCGTAGTTGGCTAAACCGGATTGCGCGGAGACCGGGTGACGAACTCCTTGTGGTCCGGGTTCACTCCTGGGGGTAGGCAGAAAAGCTACATTTTCTCCTAGATTTACGGTATTTACAATGGAATCAAGGCCGAAAGGTTGCGATATTCATAATACCGAGCCTAAGGGTTAACAACACATGGCTTCTGAATACTAAAACAAACTTCCCAGGACATGACATGGCAGCCATTTATGGCTGGATCAGCCTGGGAGCCAATGTAATCTTCAAAACAATTTGCACCCAGGCCTCTGTCAGTTATTATGCTACCGCAGCTGCCAGTTAGAACTTACATATGGCTTTTATCAAACTTATATTCTTGTTTGTATTTGTGGCATTGTCTGGTAATGTAATCTGCTAATGAAGGCTTTCTAGCTGCAACATTTGCTTGTTTATGTTTGTGGGGATGTGAAGCTGACTGGTTCCACTTTTTTGTTTGTTCTGATGTCTTTTCCTTATACTAATATGGAAACTGATGGGGGTCGATTGAAGAATAAGCAAGAACTACAACTGATGTTACAGACAGTTCATAACACAAAAAGGAAAGGGGGTAGGAAGATAGTGCTGCAACCCCCCTCCCCCTTTTCCCCTTCCTGGTTGTCATCACTGGAGGTGTGACAGAATGACAGAAATATATGTTTAAAAAAATATATGTATGTACACACACACATATATATTTGTTTTTGGTTTTTTGGTTAATTGCATATCCTTTACAGGACGTTGCAGAACCAAAGTATTTTACACAAACATAAACCACATTTAAAAATGTGTATTTTTATGTCTAATTCTGCCCTACTTAAGTTCAGAGAACATTAAGAACTTGTAGATTTTTGTTGAGCATAAAAACATACAAATACTTTGCCTGTATAATCCGTCGTGAAGGACCTGACTCCTAGATAGCTCGTTGTACTAGAAAAGCTGAGCTGTTGTTTATAAATTATTGCTTGTATGCTTTCCCAGAATTGCAGAATTCCTAGGTCGTTGTCAACACCGCGATGGAGGTTTTGGAGGTAAACATTACTTTTATTGTTACTGCTTTCATATTTGAACTGTCATTTTAATTTACAATTTTAAATTAGTTTGCAGTCATAAGTTTGTATGTTTTCACTTTACAGTTTTATGTAAGTGTATAACATTGTAGTTTTGTGTCAGGAACTTTGGAAGCTGCACGCTCCTGTGCCCCCCCCCCCCCCCCCCCCCCCCCCAAAAAAAAGGGTTACAAGCCACATCAATAGATGTTTTTCCCCCCTTGGTTTCTGCTCCCAAGTCGACTCAGTCAAAAATGGGTAGCAGGCGTCTGCTAGAAAGTAAAGGTGGCGAGCATAATGTTGACCACGTCACCCGTTGAGTGTCTATTGATCTGTAAACAAAAATACAGATCTAGCGCTCTATGCTACGCTAACACAGGGTGAAAGAGGGCTTTTCAGTTTTACCTTACGTTGTATCTGTGTACAGTATTACAATTTTGTAGCATATAACGTTAAACCTTTAGTTATTTCATGTGGTAGCTTATGTCACACTCTGTACCACTGTACTAAATAAAGCAGGCATGCACCCACCTTTTTTTTTCATGTAGGTATGATGCCACATGTGGCGTCCTGCTCATCTTGATTCAGGGATTCAAGACATTATATGCAGTTTTGTTGGAAAAATTGACACTATCCTGGGATATCTACACTCGCCAGGGTAGAAGAGGAAAGACGGCAAAATTGAGTTCCTGGGGGGGGGGGGGGTATGTTTAGCCTAAAATCTCAACCATAACTGGCTTGAGGCATGTTTCGAAGTGAAGAGTTTTTTTTAGTCTCTCAATATTTAATTTGTGTTGTATTGTGGGTAATCTTGGTCAAATCATTTTGAATTCTGTGCAGCAAAATCAGCATAGATGTTTAATTGTTATAATGGCTTCACTTGCTTCAGGTGGACCAATGCAGTACCCACACCTGGCCCCAACATATGCGGCCGTCAACTCCTTGTGTATTCTCTCCAACATTACAGACAGGGTCTTCAATGTGCTCAAACAGGTCAGTTTGTACGTCACATAATTGTGACAGTATCTTGTGAATTTATGCATAGAGAAGCTGATGTTTAGTTTAGTAGGTACCTGTGTGAGGCTAACATGTTTTAATACCATTTTATAATTTGATCTTTTGGGTAATTTACTGTAATAACTAACCTTCTCACATAATATAATGATTTACAGTGAGGCTGTCGGCTCTGTGGCTAAGTTGATGCGAAGCGCTTCGTAATGTCGGGTTCAATCCCAGCTGCGGGCCATGCGCCTTGCGTTGGTTTCGACAGTGGTATTAAGAAAGCCGACCGTCCAGAAAGCAATGGCAAACAACTGGACGTAAATTTGCCTAGAAAAACCACACAACAGCCAGGGGCTGTTGGGGTTGGTTCTGCAACATCCTGTAAAGGCTACGCAACTAAACTTAAAAACAGTGAGGCTGCAGTATTTGCCCTTTCCGCCCAACACATTCGGTGTCAGCAAACTTCTTCTACAACATGCTTGTTGGGAGGCAGTATGTGTTCCCCTCCCCCCCACCCCCCCCCCACCCCCCTCTAATTGCTGCCCTAGAACCCACTCAGGGAAAACATAATTTGTTAAGCATCTTTTACACCTAATGTATGTGATGTGATTGATACATAACATTCAGATTTTATTGTATTCTGTTTTACTGTATTAGAGAAAAGCTGTATAATTTTCTGATGAGGATGAAGACAAGAGACGGAGCTTTTCAAATGCATGATGGAGGGGAAGTAGATATCAGGTAGTTATCAATTATTTTGTACTTCCACATGAATATAACTACTTTTGCCCTGTTGAAAGAGACTGAGAGATTTTAAGCAGGAATATGTTATCTAGCTGAAGATAACGGTGATAGATTCAGAATTGCTAGAGAGCATTAAATATAAGGTCAGAATCTGTAGACAGTGTTACATGTAAAATAGAGATTAGCAAGTTTTTAATTTTTTTGTTTTTGTTTATAAAAATGTGAGATCATTATGATAAACCTGAGAAAAGGATATTTAACAAGGGATCTGGAAGTTTAGAAATAAAAGCAGCTTAGGCCTAATCATGGGGATCTGGAAGTGTCACAGAGACAGGCTCTTTAACATGAGGCTCTGCAACTGTCACATAGAGAGTAATGACGACATTGAAAAAAAAAAAAAATTGTACTTGTTTGTGTAATTTTTGTGGTTTCAAGTATAATCTCTGATTTCCAGCATGAACTCATTCTGTTTTGTTAAGAAGCTTTTCATGTATTATTTTCATTCATAAAATACCCAGTTTGTTTTGTACATCTGCTTCTATGTTATTCTTCATTATTGCTTGTAAACAGTGAGAATATAGACCATATTTTTGCCATGCTTTTTCCTACAAGGGGAGTCTACTGTGCCCTCAGCGTTGCCCGTCTGACCAACATTCTGACAAAAGAGCTCTTGGAAGGTGTTTCTGATTTTATAATCAGGTAAGAATAAGAAACACTGAGATTTCATTAGGGTCCCTTGTGATTTCTTGTAGCCTGTATTTCCCTGAGGTTTGTGTTATTTTAACTAACCATTTTGTATCTGTCCTATAGAAGCATACGTGTGTAAATCATGGACCTTGTGTACACAACAAAGGCAAAAGCTGAGACTTTATCACGTTGCGGAAAAAGTCTTAGAAATCTATGGATTTTTAAATACAATTTTACTTCAAGGCGAGAAAAGTGATGTTTACTGGCTGATAAATCGCATCATGTCTCTGAAATTAAACTACCTTATTTTTCTGCAATACTAAATAGACCTGTGTTTTGAATATTTAATGATACGTCAAATTATTCTGATTAGTGTTTAAAATATTTGTGTCTTAATTTTAGGCTTAAAAAGTAGGGACCATCTTACATGTGGACAAATCTGGTGCTTTAGCAAATGTGAAATGCGGTCGTAATTTATAGGGCGTGGCAGTTGGAAGATAAAAGTGGCAGTTAGTCATCAGCATAGGATGGACACAGTATATGGGAGATAACTTGGGTACGTGAGGCAGGAAATTTGGCAATGGACAGATTGTCTTTCTGGGGGGTTGACAAGGCAGTGATGTTTGGCAAACTCCTGCAACACGTTCATCTATGATGTTTTATAGACTGTATTTCTTTGAGGCGTGCAACATATGCATAGCTTTTGTTTTCCTTTAAGAAAAAAGTGCTGGTACTCGCCATAAAGCCTCTCAAAACAAGTTCCACTACTTAGCACTAAGTATCTGTTGGTAATGCTGAAAAACATGATGCCTAAAAAAGTTGCTAGTGCTGCACACTGTTGCATATTGCCAGAAAAAAGCCCTAGCCCTGTGTATCTGATGGTGATGTGGTAGTAACACATTTATCAGTCAATAAATACATATAAAATGTGCTTATGTATGCATGCATGTATGTTTGTGTTGGAAAATAGCAGAATTTGTTCTCTTATATATCACACTTAGACATGTGTAGTGTATGTACACACTTAGACATGTGTAGTGTATGTACACACTTAGACATGTGTAGTGTATGTACACATGCAGACATGTGTAGTGTATGTACACACTTAGACATGTGTAGTGTATGTACACATGCAGACATGTGTAGTGTATGTACACACTTAGACATGTGTAGTGTATGTACACATGCAGATATGTGTAGTGTATGTACACACTTAGACATGTGTAGTGTATGTACACATGCAGTTTAAGAAAGGCATAACAGTGGGAATAATTCTGCTTTAGCGTGAGATTGAACTCAGGCTACTGTCTTTCTATGCAAGCACTCTTCATGTGCATGATGAATATAACTAAGTATGGGTTTACCTACGTCCTACATGATGTCAGCATAGAGGAGAATTGACTCATAAACAGCAGCCTGTCCTCACAGCCAAGATATTTTGACCTGGACAGAGCGGTGATGGAATTATGAAGTTTCTAGAAAATCAGGCAGAGGTGAACGTGGACACAGGACATTAAGGATGCATTGGCTGTGAAAGCACATAGGGCTAGAAAATTTGTTAGAGAAAAAGACACTTTTAGGTGTGCAGTGATGAGAGCAACATTCTTTAGAACACCTGAATTATGAGGAATGTTTTACAATCCTCTGCGTACAGGAAATTGTGACACATGAAAAAGAATAAGAAAAAGAGTGTTTTCTGTTTTTGATTATTGTACAACAACATTTTGGAGAGGTGAATCAAACTGGCCACCTCTCTTCATTTAGGGGCAAAGATCACCTTATCAGTATATTTACTGTGGGATACATTTACCTTGTGACCCGCAGTGGTGTAGTTGCACATGCTCATCTGCCAGCCTGATGGAGGTCTACTGACTCTAACTTCCAGACTGGCCCAACCTAAAACGAATACGAGGTAATGTCCTAGAAGGTAAAGTTGGCCGGACTAATGTTAACCTCTCACCATAAATATCTAGTACTGTATGCCTGATGTGCTGCTGGCATTAAAAAGCTCATTTACATCTCTTTGCGTTACCATGTTTGCTGACTTGCTTTTGAATTTACAGTCAATTTGGAGAATAGACAAGTTTAGTGTTTTTAGTCGTGGCAAGTTTTTGCTTCTGTCAATAATTTGTTCATTATATTTCCTTCATGTGTCAACTGAATGGATATAGTTTTGTCGGCCACCTACTGAGTTGAGTGAAGGGCATGACACTGTGAGCTGCATATTTCATTTCAGCTGTACCCACCATGGTTTATGTTGTAAACTGTAGATTCAGAAAATGGCAAGTGGCCTGTTGTTGCAGAACAGGTGGTGCATTATGTGATTAATTGTGTGTTGAGTTGAGTCACGAATTGATATCACAGCACTCAGGGCATTCCCATGCATTCTCTATCCTCATCTTCAGCAGCCAGCACAGAGTTCCAATACTAATGGTACCAGTTGTAATCTGGTTATATGTCCGTTTTGCCTTTCTTCTCAGTTTAGTGAGCCGGTCAGACCTTCTGGTTACACCCAGGTACATCGTTCTCTCCAGGCCATAGTAATTGCGTATGCATCTACTAATCTGTTTAACTGCTGTTTCCATCTGTGATGGACTACATTTCTAGTGTTGCACTCTTTGTGTTGGCGCTTCTGATGGCTGTCTTATTACCTCGATACATACATGAAGGTTTTGTTGTCCATTGAACCCAGGTGCCAGACTTATGAAGGAGGATTTGCCGGATACCCTGGACTGGAAGCCCACGGAGGTTACACTTTCTGTGGGATTGCAGCGCTGGTTCTTTTGGGTCATACTGAACGTTGTGATCTCAGATCCCTGCTGGTGAGTTAAGGTGGTCCTAAACTTATGAAACTAAATTGCATACTTTTTAATGTATATATTCTGATATGGTTTATGATTTTGTACTGAAGACTGTCTGATTGTTTTAGCTTTTGTTTATTCATGTTGTTTGGTTTTGTTACCTATTGCACGTGGCTATTGTTGCTTTCTGTTGGTCTTTCTTATTTTTATTCTTCTTGTGATCGCTGTCTGATGTACACCTTCAGGCGAGTTCTTGTGATAAAATGAACTGTTTTTAGGAGTTCGCTTTTAGTTCCATATAACTTATAGTATGGTGTTGACTCATTGAGCCAGTATTCTTAACCCACTGACTACTGAGCACATTAACCCTTGCAAATCCCCAGATACCACGTATTTTAGTGTGTACTAAAAATGCCATAGCTTCACAACTATTTGATATAATCTCACAATATTTTGTATTTTTGGACCAAACTGAATGAAGAACAAATTTCAAGAAAAATTTTGTATTTTTTTGCACAAAATTAAACCAAGAACCCATTTAAAGAAAACAAAAATAAGGTTTACTCTGACATAGTCATCATCATCATGTGGCTGTAGATTGTTGCAAAAAAGGCAACTGGAAATCTTTTATCTGACAACAATAAAGACTGATAGTGATGATTTTTTTTCAAAAATATTCAACAAACATATAGTACATTTTGTATTTTTGCACAAAATTGAACCGAGAACAATGTGAAGACCAAAAAATGGGGTTTACTTTTTTCTGCCATAATCATCATCATCATGTGGCTGTAGATTGTTGCAAGAAAGGCAACTGAAAAATCCTTTATCTGACAATAATTCAGACTCCCAAAAAATGTCACAGCTTTACAACTGTTCAATATCACTTATCCTATCTGATATTGTTTGCACCAAATTAAATAGATAACAAATATCAAGACATATGTAGATTTACTGTTTTATATCATCATCATGTGGCTGTAGATATGGTGCTGAAAAGGCAACAGACAAATCTGTTATCTGACAGCAATATATAGAAAACGCCCCCGTGACGTGATGGTGGCAGCAAATGATGAGTGGATAGATGGATATAGACTCCGGTAGTCTGGGAAAACAGGTGTCTGGTTTCGCACCAATTTTTGCCTCAGCATGACGGTTTGTTTCTTTAGCAAACACAGCCAGAATTTCTTTACTGAAGAAAATATTCAGTGGTTCATTTGTTCCTGCTGGCAGAAATAAACCAAAAGTGCCAGTAAATGGGGGTACTCCAGGAAAGCCTTCTAAATCACAATGCTAGTCATCAACCATAGGGGGGGGGGGGGAAGGGGCGTGGCACATCTTCCCCAGACTCGTCAGATGATGATGATTCTGAATTGTCATGTGCAGACTCACGCACAAAATCTTTATAATCTGTGGGCTTTGACTGAATACTCTTACAAGAACTATCAGCATCATAAACTGTGGCACCAGTACTTGCAGCCGACAACACTGTGACTGTCTTTGTCAGACTTGACTTCGAAGCTTCATGCTGTCGTTTTACAGTCGACGGTGTTTTGAATGGCACTTCGTTAAATTTATTATAGTCATAGCCATCAAACTGTTCAGAAGTGTCTTCAAATTCACTTTTTGAAGCAAAATCAAGAAAATCGAATGCATCATTAGCAAAATTAGGAGAGATATGGCCACCACGATGGTTCCGATAATTTGACGCTGTGATGAATTTTTCGTCAATGTCTCACCGTCATGGGAGCTAACTAAATAAATTAGTCAAATATTTACTTCAAGCACTACGAAGTTATTTCCCTTAATTAACTATACAGAAATGAATAAGCTAGAGGTTTCAACTAAATCCATCATAAAAATCGCGATTTTAACATGACGGCGAGCGTCCAAAGCTAAAATCGCAAAGGGTGCGGCGTTGGCAGAAGGAAGTAAACGTCGCCTCGTCGCATTACTTGCGACGCTGGTAGTCAGTGGGTTAATATGCTGTACAAGAGACACTCTTGCAGGACATATTTTGTAGACTGCACACACACAGGCACAGTGGTGAATTAGGAGTAAAGATCGGCACAGCCAGGCACGAGAAGCACACCGGACGCACCAGAAGTCTTGTCTGTTAACATAGGACTGAGACTATCGACCGCGGGACTCTGATGTATATGTTGAAAGGGGAATCTGAGCAGGTGTGGATGTGTCCCGAGTGCCATGAAGATAACACAAATCATATCTCATAACACACAAGTGGTGAACTACTTAAACAAAGCCTGTATATGTGCTTGTTAAGTTTGTTATGTCTTGTCCTGAGACGCAGAAAGATTAGCTGTCCCTGCTGGTCAAGTAAGTGGTGGTCATCATTGACCAGATTCTTCTGTTCACTTCTGATAGACTGAATGCCCCCCCCCCCCCCCCCTTTTTTTTTCCTTCATCAGAGTGTGTTAATGCTTCATCTTCCTGTTCACATTCTCCCGCTTTCTTATGGTTTTTCTGTTGTTCAGCTTCAAGTTGAGGATGTATTCCTTCCTAATCCACTGTGTGTATATACCACAATCAAATTCCTAATCCACTGTGTGTATATACCACAATCAAATTCCTAATCCACTGTGTGTATATACCACAATCAAATTCCTAATCCACTGTGTGTATATACCACAATCAAATTCCTAATCCACTGTGTGTATATACCACAATCAAATTCCTAATCCACTGTGTGTATATACCACAATCAAACAAGACTAAGACACTTCATCACAATTAGTTGAAGTTGACTGGCTATGATGAGACCATTTGTTGCCTTATTTTTTGATTTTTGGTTATCCACACTCTTGATGGCAGTTAGTTTTTTTCCCATAACTTCTTACATGTAGTTTGTGTGGTTAGACAGTTTTGCCATTAGTGCTGTTGCAAAAATGTATGTTTTATTGATTCTTTCAGCGTTGGACTGCAAATAGGCAAACACAACTTGAGGGCGGCTTTCAAGGTCGTACAAACAAACTCGTTGATGGCTGCTACTCATTTTGGCAGGGAGCTACGTTTCCTATCATCCACATGATCAGTTGTACCGATGGTAAACAAATGTTTCTTATTTCATATGTTACATACAAACCCCAAAGTCCAACTGCCTTTCTCTCCAGCACTTTCGGATCCCATGTTAAACTTCCTTTCTGACACTTACATGTCACATGTTAAGTCTAAGCTGCTTTGTCTCTGAACTTCAATATCCCATGTTGAGGGGCCTTGTTAAACTTCTTTTCTTTCTGACACTTCCATGTCACATGTTGAGCCTAAGCTGCCTTTGTCTCTGAACTTCAATATACCATGTTGAGGGACCTTGTTAAACTTCCTTTCTTTCTGACACTTCCATGTCACATGTTGAGCCTAAGCTGCCTTTGTCTCTGAACTTCAATATACCATGTTGAGGGACCTTGTTAAACTTCCTTTCTTTCTGACACTTACATGTCACATGTTGAGCCTAAGCTGCCTTTGTCTCTGAACTTCAATATACCATGTTGAGGGACCTTGTTAAACTTCTTTTCTTTCTGACACTTCCATGTCACATGTTGAGCCTAAGCTGCCTTTGTCTCTGAACTTCAATATACCATGTTGAGGGACCTTGTTAAACTTCCTTTCTTTCTGACACTTACATGTCACATGTTGAGCCTAAGCTGCCTTTGTCTCTGAACTTCAATATCCCATGTTGAGGGGCCTTGTTAAACTTCTTTTTTTTCTGACACTTACATGTCACATGTTGAGCCTTAGCTGCCTTTGTCTCTGAACTTCAATATCCCATGTTGAGGGGCCTTGTTAAACTTCTTTTCTTTCTGACATTTACATGTCACATGTTGAGCCTAAGCTGCCTTTGTCTCTGAACTTCAATATCCCATGTGGAGGGGCCTTTTTTTTTCCAGGTCATCCTGAGGTCACATTTTTCTAAATCACAAATTACAACAATTTTTAATCATGTAATCTCTTCATATTTTCCGGTTTTACATTCAGCATTGTCAATAGATCCTTACATTAACATACATAATAATTATGTATTATTACTAGGGCTGTACCGAATAGTGATTTTCACTATTCGGCCGAATACGAATAGCTGGACCAACTATTCGGCCGAATACGAATACAAATAGTGAATCATCATCATCATGTGCTTTGCCGGCTGGCATGGGCGATTATGCCTCGCCACAATCTGCGATCTCCTGTAGCACGTATTAGTTCGTGTGCTGACACACCTCCATGAAAAACCTTCGTTCCATGTTGTCAGCATTAGGGCAGCTTTTTTTTCTCACTGAAGATATTTCCAGCTGTACTAAACAGGAAAATACGACAAATACAGAGAGTCAAGACCTGAAGATCAAATAACGAAAAAATAATTGCAGACGAAAAATCCAGACGGCGAGCGGCCAACGCCAGAAGATCAAACAACAAAGACAGCGAAGAAACCGAACGTCGATCAAAACATTCAGCCGCTGCCGTTTCCACCAGACGACGAAAGAACAGTTACGACACCCATAAATGATGACGAACTCCCGTTACTTCAAACAATCAACGAAGAGGACTCTCCACTCAAAGAAATCAAGCCGACAACACTAGAACACTTGCTTTTCTGCCCCTCTTACATTTTTAAGTGTTGCATTTTGTTTCTACAGCAACACACCTAAAAACACTGTACTCGCAACACAAACATGATGGAAATAAAGGGGCACTTGGTACGCTCGTAGGTGGTGCACAAAGATAACGCTTCACAGTATAAACCAAGTTGGGAAATCTTGATGTTTTTTTCCACCAGTCCAGAAACTGTTGTAACCACTATTCGTATTTGGCCCGACCGCAACTATTCGGCCGAATACTGAATAGTTATTGGGTCCAATATTCAGCCCCGAAGCGAATGCGAAGCGAATATTCGGTACAGCCCTAATTATTACTATAATATATCCTTAATGTTAATTATTTTAAAACAACAGAAATAGGCATCAAGTATTTTGCGAGTTAGCATAGACATTTGTACTTCACCACATTTTGTGATCTTCCAGCAGTGTCAGCACGTAATTTATTACGTGAGAGAAGCTCACGGTAAAATATTATTATGGTTCTTGTATTCACACGTATAGATCTTGCTCCTGCTATAGAGTTTGTGACCTGTGCTAAGATTCCCTTTATTTGATCTGTAGGAAAAGGTAGATAACTTGCGGAAATACATATACGCAGTGAAAGGGATTTTTTTTTTAAAACAAGAAACTATATCTCGTACTTAATACATTCATTACATATTCACCACCTCACTCTGCACATACTTGATAAGATTGTTATGCCCTGTCCTGAGGCGTAGAATGATGACCTATCCATGCGGGTCAAGTAAGTGGTAGTCATCTCTGGCCAGATTCTGAGAAAATCAGTCTGGCTGCTTGCTGCAAAAAAAAAAAACAGCTATCCAGAATTGTCTTCCATCAGTTGTTGCAGTTATAATTCTATGCCTGCTTGGCAGCACTCTGTCAGTTGTTGCAGTTATAATTCTCTGCCTGCTTGGCAGCACTCTGTCAGTTGTTGCAGTTATAATTCTATGCCTGCTTGGCAGCACTCTGTCAGTTGTTGCAGTTATAATTCTATGCCTGCTTGGCAGCACTCTGTCAGTTGTTGCAGTTATAATTCTATGCCTGCTTGGCAGCACTCTGTCAGTTGTTGCAGTTATATTTCTATGCCTGCTTGGCAGCAATCTGTCAGTTGTTGCAGTTATAATTCTATGCCTGCTTGGCAGCACTCTGTCAGTTGCTTTCTAAGAATTACAGGAGCAGTACCATTATGTTGTTCATGGCTGACCTGAATCAACCATGCCATGCGAACGAATGTGCTTAAATATTGTCAACCTGTGGAGTTGATTTTAAAGTCAATGCCATCTAAGACTTGCCTCACTCCTTTACAGCATCATTTTTAAAGGTTAAAGGTTAGAGTCAAGAGGGTCGACTTCATTACACTGGGTTTTATTCCATTTGCATCATCATCATTTATGTATGCTAAATTCTAGCGTCAGTACATCATACATCGAACAAATGAAGACGTTCTATTTTCATAAATAACATAAAATATACACTTTCTATATTATGAATTAATTTACATTTTTTTTTTAATGAAAATATGAACATATTCATTAGAAATCACATAGATGAACACTTTCAGTATCAGAAATCACACAGATGAACACTTTCTGTATCAGAAATCACACAGATGAACATGTTCTTAATTAGAAATCACACAGATAAACATGTTCTGTATTAGAAATCACACAGATAAACATGTTCTTTATTAGAAATCACACAGATGAACATGTTCTTTATTAGAAATCACACAGATGAACATGTTCTGTATCCGAAATCACACAGATGAACATGTTCTGTATTAGAAATCACACAGATGAACATGTTCTGTATTAGAAATCACACAGATGAACATGTTCTGTATCCTAGATGATGACCAGAATTTGAGTGCCACTCGCTGGATGTTTCATCAGGAAGCTCTGCAAGAATATATTCTCATCTGTTGCCAGCACTCTTATGGAGGACTGATAGACAAACCTGGCAAGTCAGTTCACATGTTTCAAGCTTTCATTGTTAATCCTTTTATTTTGTTTTTCTGTAGACTTTGTAACTTTTCACCACAAAAATCCACAAAACCGACACTTCTGGTTGGGACCAATTCCCCATAAATGTAACTTTTCTGAATTTTCAGTCGTGGCCTGTTTACGAGATGCATAGTTCAAACTCGTAAACTTAAAATGGCTTGGAAAGGGGTGGGGGTGGGTCCTTTGAGTCAGTTTTTTTTTTTTAAAGCCAAGTTGAGGCTAAATTTTCCTGTAAGTCTAAGTGATAGAGGTCGCAGGGTCATGACATGGCCATCCGATAAATTAGTTTTTATAGGCGCTGAGGAATGTATTCCATTTGATCCTTCACCTTGTTCATATTTTTTTTTTATTAAAAAAAAAATTGTTTATTGCTTTATATATTTTGATGGACAAAATAAAGAAAAAATAGATAAATAAATTAGTTACAAATTGACCTGTTGCCAGCAGGATGGTGGCCTTTTTTTTTTTTTTAAGTGTTCCTAGGGTGAGAGGGTTAACTTTAATGTCAGGAAGATTCTTAAAGAATCATGGATCCAGAAGAAGAAAGTTGCTGACAGGCTGTGAGATCTGGACATAGAGGTAGTCTTGCTTACCGACAGTATCAGTTCCTAGAAGTTGAAAAATCTCAGCCATATTAAACTAATAATGATCTTGGCAGAACAGGAATGGAAGGTATGTTTTCTGGAAGAAAAGGCAGCAGTAGACCAGCACGATGGTGGACACCGGATATTAAGGACACCCTAAGCATGAATATTTATGAGGCGGACTTTCCAGCTGCTTCGTTGATGGAAAAAATACCTGCCCTATGGTGTTGCTTATGTGTGAACTTTTTAAAAAGTTAGCAGAAAAATTCTTAGAATGTTATGGATCAGGAATAAGATATATAGATATTCTGCAATATTTTATGAAGAAAAACAGCAGATAATCAGCATTGTGTCTTGTCACCTGCAGTACATTAGCTTTACTGAATGCTACGGTGGCCGAGACATAATTGCAGCAAAAGTTACCAAATCCATAGAACTAATGCTTTTACTGCAGGAAGTAAATGCACACCTTAATATCGCCTGCTTGCTAGGGAATAGACAGGAGGTGTCCTGAAGGATTCCATACACCTGGTGCTGTCCCTTCCACTAACCAGATGTTCCATGCTTGTGACTGCATACCCCACAGTCATTCAGTCCATTAGCACGTAGGTACATCTTAGGCTTGGGGTTTTTAATCGAGATTGCCCCCTCTAGATCCATTGTGTAATTTGTGCCTCTTTGGTCATGCACGGTGGTATTGACCAGAATAGTGCTGCAAGGAGCAACCAATGGATCTGGCTGATGCTCAGCACTCAAGGGAAAGGTGGGATAGATATACAGTCAGACTGTTACATTAGAATTGTAACTCTGCACTTTGCTGCTGAAGAATGGAACAGAGCGCTTATGGGAATGTCCTGATTTTTTAACATTGTAATGAAAAATATGGTTTCTGGAAGAAGGTCATGGGTGAATCAACATGAAGAAGGATACTGGGAAACCTGAGGCAGGTAAATACATGCGAGTGGTGAAATGATATGGGCATGAGAGGCTTTCCAGTGGTCAGTTAAAAGATCAGTTTCCCACAAGAACTCGCTACATGCTAACATTGTTATTGATCTTAGGATGTTTAACTGATGGTTACAGCAGTGGAGAAATGATTTTAAAAAGTGCAAACCTGCAGCATTGTTTAAAATCGTTGTCATTGCTAGAGGTGTAGGCATTCATTCTTCTCCCCAGACTGTGGTCCCATGTCTTCAAGGTTAATTCTGTTTCCTGTTAATGATATTCCTCCATTCCACCATATTAAACCAAAAAGCGTAAGCTTTCTTGATCTGTTTCATCTTCTGCTGATTAATTATCATTGGTTCTTAACACTTTCATCCCGGTAATACTAAAATCAAAATGGGTTTTGACACAAGTTCACTCCTTCATGTGTTTTGGGTCTGTCCTTTTTTCCTTTAGCCCTGTGGGTTCTGCTGAAACGACACTCTAGTTGTGCTTGTCTCATGTTTTCACCCCAAACAATAGATAGTTGCAGTTGAATTCAGACCTTGCACTTGTGGGGGTTTTTTTTTTTTCAGAGCAAGAGATCATTACCACACCTGCTACTGTCTGAGTGGCTTATCTGTGGCTCAGCACTTCTTGGGTGGACTTCTCAGCAATGATATTGTCATCGGAAACCCACAGAATAGATTGGTAAGTGTTTTTAGTCACTGTATTTATTAGTACTGAATGGGATCATCCTTTTTGTTTTTGTATGTTGTAATGTTCTTAGAAATATCCACCTTATCCTAATATCAAATGACAGAAAGTATTGAACAGGGATGATCATAGATATCCCTTTCTGACAAAGCACTTGATAGAGAAATTCTATTTTAATTTTATTGAGCCTCCAATGAGGAGCAGCTGTACACTCATATGGGAGACCTGGGTTTGAATCCTTTTGGTAAGGTCATGCATTTTTTTTTATTCGGGGGGGGGGGGAATAAAATCCTAACCTGCAGAATCTATGGCGACAGCCCTAACCATCCGGCCCTAAATCCTTAGGCTCAAAGATCCCTGTGCCTACACCACAAAAGTTTTAAACACAGGCAATAGTAAGCACTTTATTGAGTCACAATTAAAACCATACACATTCTCAAGATCATTATCAGGTAATTAATTCACTGAACGAACGGTGGCCAAGAGGCTCCATTCATTAATTAAGCTTCATAGTAACAGTTCAGTGAATTAATTTCTTGGTATAAGCTTAACTGCAGTCGTCCCTGCTTTTGTCAGTTTTTGGATTTTCTTTAATAGGTCAGTTGTCATGTTCCAGACAGCTCATTGAAAGTTCAAAGTGTGTGTAACAAGTTCTCTTGCCTCGTGTATATGCCCAAAGTATGTTTTGGAGCAACTGTGTTCAAAAAAACATTAGAGAAGGTTGAGTCAAGAGGATCCGCTTCATTTCAGAGGGTTTTCTCCGGTGTGGCTCAGTCTCTCACCATAGAATGGCTAGCCGCTGACGAAAGCATCGCACAACGCATAAAAAACTGTTGCTCTGACAGTGGTCTCCAGGAGTCTGTAAATATTAGATCTCATTAACCGATGATGCAGCCTTGAAACAAACCCATGACCTCAAGAGCGCAAGAAGACGGCTTGTCCACTCTGCCGCAAAGACACCGCTACCCCCAATTTTTTTTTTTTTTTTTGTGTTTTGTTTTTTTTTAAATAGAAATTACGACCCAATAGCACACAGTAAACCCTACCATCTCTTCCAGCAGTTCACTGAAGTAGCTTTCAGAAGATCAGTGCTGGATGAGTGACTTCACTGAAGTAGCTTTCAGAAGATCATTGCTCGATGAGTGACTTCACTGAAGTAGCTTTCAGAAGATCATTGCTCGATGAGTGACTTCACTGAAGTAGCTTTCAGAAGATCAATGCTCGATGAGTGACTTCACTGAAGTAGCTTTCAGAAGATCAGTGCTCGATGAGTGACTTCACTGAAGTAGCTTTCAGAAGATCATTGCTCGATGAGTGACTTCACTGAAGTAGCTTTCAGAAGATCATTGCTCGATGAGTGACTTCACTGAAGTAGCTTTCAGAAGATCATTGCTCGATGAGTGACTTCACTGAAGTAGCTTTCAGAAGATCATTGCTCGATGAGTGACTTCACTGAAGTAGCTTTCAGAAGATCATTGCTCGATGAGTGACTTCACTGAAGTAGCTTTCAGAAGATCATTGCTCGATGAGTGACTTCACTGAAGTAGCTTTCAGAAGATCATTGCTCGATGAGTGACTTCACTGAAGTAGCTTTCAGAAGATCAGTGCTCGATGAGTGACTTCACTGAAGTAGCTTTCAGAAGATCATTGCTCGATGAGTGACTTCACTGAAGTAGCTTTCAGAAGATCAGTGCTCGATGAGTGACTTCACTGAAGTAGCTTTCAGAAGATCAATGCTCAATGAGTGACTTCACTGAAGTAGCTTTCAGAAGATCATTGCTCGATGAGTGACTTCACTGAAGTAGCTTTCATAAGATCAGTGCTCGATGAGTGACTTCACTGAAGTAGCTTTCAGAAGATCAGTGCTCGATGAGTGACTTCACTGAAGTAGCTTTAAGAAGATCAGTGCTCGATGAGTGACTTCACTGAAGTAGCTTTCAGGAGATCAATGCTCGATGAGTGACTTCACTGAAGTAGCTTTCAGGAGATCAATGCTCGATGAGTGACTTCACTGACGTAGCTTTCAGAAGATCAGTGCTCGATGAGTGACTTCACTGAAGTAGCTTTCAGGAGATCAATGCTCGATGAGTGACTTCACTGAAGTAGCTTTCAGAAGATCAGTGCTCGATGAGTGACTTCACTGAAGTAGCTTTCAGAAGATCAATGCTCGATGAGTGACTTCACTGAAGTAGCTTTCAGAAGATCAATGCTCGATGAGTGACTTCACTGAAGTAGCTTTCAGAAGATCAATGCTCGATGAGTGATGTCCTGCTGTATATGTTTGACTCTCCCACAGAGTTGTCTGTCCACAGTTTTCTTGCTCTTTCCTGGCTCACTATATAGATTGGTGAGCCGCAGTGGTGTAGGGCTAGACTCTAGCTTGCCAGACCAAAGTTCTTAGGTTCGCATCCGCATCAAGTCAGATTCTCTTTAAAATGACATTGGTTCCTAGATCTTCCTGTGTGGGTCTAGGGCCCATTTTGGGGGGAAAACCATAGACCGAGTCCCCTCCCCTGACAGGCAGGTTGTAAAAGGTGTTTCCTTTGAAGTCAGAGTACATCTGCCTGAGCAGCAAGGAACCAGCAGTCTACATACAAATAAGCCCTATGTGAAAAGTGGATGTGTTAGCATAACTCCAATTCTGGAAGAAGACTTGAAGTCCCAGAAGTTGATAAACAACCAGAACTTCCCATGGGAGTTTACAGTCGATGAAGTGCAAAGACAACGATTCCAGGTCAGCCCAGCCTAAAATGGTCACCTGGTAACATCCTGAGCTGTGAAGGGGGCCCAGAATCATGTTGACCACACAAGGGCCCTTTTTTATACTTCACTAATATATAGATGTCGGCTCTGTGGCTAAGTCGATGCGAACACTTCGTAATACCGGGATGCCGGGTTCGATCCCAGTCAGCTGCGGGCCATGTGCCTTGCGTTGGTTTCGACAGTGGTATCAAGAAAGCCGACCATCTAGAAAGCAGTGGCAAACTATTGGACATAAATTTGCCTAGAAAAACCACACAACAGCTGTTGGGGTTGGTTCTGCAAAGCCCTGTAAAGGATGCGCAACTAACCTATATGTAGATAGTTTTTCTTAATTTTATCCTGTAGTCAGTAGTTGGTCAGGTTTCAGTTTCATTATGTCCAGAGGTAAATGTTTCTGACTTGTGGTATTGACAAATTTCAGAGGCCAGTGCAGCCGGTGTACAACCTGAGCATTGATTCTGTCATCATGGCACAGCAGCACTTCAATGCAATGATGCCGCCCGCTGGGAGAGCACAGGAAGAGTCCTCAGCTCCTGGCGGATCATAGAGATCAGCTCAACTGTTTGTTGTAGGGACTTACTCATTGTTCAAAGCATTCTCTTTCGGACACTGGCTATGTTACATATTCTGTTTCACCTAATGGATCTGTTACACATTCTGTTTCACCTAATGGATCTGTTACACATTACATATTCTGTTTCACCTAATGGATCTGTTACACATTCTGTTTCACCTAATGGATCTGTTACACATTCTGTTTCACATAATGGATCTGTTACACATTCTGTTTAATTGAAACACCCTATGTTAAACATTCTGTTTCAAACATTGGCCATGTTACACATTCTATTTCACACAGTGGCTAAGTTACTTTCTGTTTCACATATTGGCTTTGTTACACATTCTGTTTTGCACATTCTATTTCACATACTGACTGTGTTGCGCATTCTGTTTCTCATACTCGTTGTTTTGCACTTTCTGTTTCAGATGCTGGCTATGTTACACATTCTGTTTCACATACTGGCTTTGTTACACATTATGTTTCACATACTGGCTGTTTTACACATTCTGTTTCACATACTGGCTTTTTTACATTCTGTTTCAAACTGGCTTTGTTAACACATTCTTTTTTTAAATTTGTTTATATTGGTTGTACACCATATCCTTCAACGAACGAATGTTTACATAAGGACTGTATGCAGAATATTTGAAAGAAGGTACTGGAATTGCCTAGACTGAGACTTGTCAGTGTTTCCTCCACAGCTCTGAGGTATTTCTATGTCAGGACATTAACACAGTGTCCAGCGGGATTTCTACATTTGTTCATCATCTCTAGTCCTGTTCTGCCTTTCTGCGGGCCTCGGTATGTGCTGCATAGACACCGGTATATACAGCCATTGGCCCATCGCTTGCATGGTTGACCTCTAGGTCTGCTTACATTATCTCTAAATGACAGGGCTCTCTGCAGTGGACTGTCTGGTGTGAGGTGGTCTTGACACATGACCAAACCATTTGATCTGTTGATTTCTACACTGACATAAGTTCATTCCTAATGTGAATGCAGAGTTTATTTGGTGGTGAAAATGGTGCTATTCTACTGTATTAAGATCACAGAAGTCTGACTGGCTTTATCCTTAATCATCAACAGTGGCACACATTTAATTCAGTTGTCTTCAATAGTTTACTCCCTGATAACAATAGCAAAATGGTAAACAAAAAAACTGTCAAGTTAGTACTGGAACTGGCTAGACTGCCACTTGTCGGAGTTTTTTTCCAGCTCTTAACCTCACGTATTTCATTGTCAGGACTTAAACACAGTTGTCTAGAGGAATTTCTACATTTCATCATCTTCTCTAATCCTGTTTTTGTTTTGACTACATATGTCTGAAGAAATGTATCTGAAATTTTCCGTTGCTAAAATCCTATAGCAATACCCAAAGATTTAAAAAGCTAGTATTTATGCTTGAATGTTTCTACAGTGTATCACTATGTAAGTAAGGAGCGACTGGCCGAACGGTTAAAATGATGGGCTCTCAAGCCGAAGACCCAAATCCTCGGTAAGGCTGGGGATTTTTTTCTGTCGGAGGCAAAATAAAATTCTTATCTGCATAGTTGTGGCGACAGCACTAGCCATGCGGCCGTAAATCATCAGGCTAAAAGACACCCCCCCCCCCCCCCCCCCCCCCGGCTACACCTCAGGAGTGGTAAAATAAAGACAGTAATTAGCAAGATATGTAAGTTCTTAACTTGATGTACTGTCTACAAATCTGATCACAACAGCAGGTGTTTGTGCTGCACTGCTTGATGATCGCTGCTGTGTACCCTGAGGTGAAACAGGAGCACAGACGAATCAGTCAAGCAGAACATGGGCTGTCACTTCTCATCTTCATCATCAAGTGTGTGCATGGTTCTCTCTTGCCAAGACATTCTTTCATTTACTGGTCTTCTCATCTTCTTCACACTGATGGTTCTCTCTTACCAAGACATTCTTTCATTTACTGGTCTTCTCATCTTCTTCACACTGATGGTTCTCTCTTACCAAGACATTCTTTCATTTACTGGTCTTCTCATCTTCTTCACACTGATGGTTCTCTCTTACCAAGACATTCTTTCATTTACTGGTCTTCTCATCTTCTTCACACTGATGGTTCTCTCTTACCAAGACATTCTTTCATTTACTGGTCTTCTCATCTTCTTCACACTGATGGTTCTCTCTTACCAAGACATTCTTTCATTTACTGGTCTTCTCATCTTCTTCACACTGATGGTTCTCTCTTACCAAGACATTCTTTCATTTACTGGTCTTCTCATCTTCTTCACACTGATGGTTCTCTCTTACCAAGACATTCTTTCATTTACTGGTCTTCTCATCTTCTTCACACTGATGGTTCTCTCTTACCAAGACATTCTTTCATTTACTGGTCTTCTCATCTTCTTCACACTGATGGTTCTCTCTTACCAAGACATTCTTTCATTTACTGGTCTTCTTATCTTCACACTGATGGTTCTTTCTTACCAAGATATTCTTTCATTTACTGGTCTTCTCATCTTCTTCACACTGATGGTTCTCTCTTACCAAGACATTCTTTCATTTACTAGTCTTCTCATCTTCTTCACACTGATGGTTCTCTCTTACCAAGACATTCTTTCATTTACTGGTCTTCTCATCTTCTTCACACTGATGGTTCTCTCTTACCAAGACATTCTTTCATTTACTAGTCTTCTCATCTTCTTCACACTGATGGTTCTCTCTTACCAAGACATTCTTTCATTTACTGGTCTTCTCATCTTCTTCACACTGATGGTTCTCTCTTACCAAGACATTCTTTCATTTACTGGTCTTCTCATCTTCTTCACACTGATGGTTCTCTCTTACCAAGACATTCTTTCATTTACTGGTCTTCTCATCTTCACATTGATGGTTCTCTCTTACCAAGACATTCTTTCATTTACTGGTCTTCTCATCTTCACATTGATGGTTCTCTCTTACCAAGACATTCTTTCATTTACTGGTCTTCTCATCTTCACACTGATGGTTCTCTCTTGCCAAGACATTCTTTCATTTACTGGTCTTCTCATCTTCTTCACACTGATGGTTCTCTCTTACCAAGACATTCTTTCATTTACTGGTCTTCTCATCTTCACTCTGATGGTTCTCTCTTACCAAGACATTCTTTCATTTAATATCTCCTATAATTCTGTCCAGGTCCTCTTCATATTTTCATGTAGTCCTGATTGACTGGGTATTCTTTATCTTTATCAACTCATTCTGTCTCTTTCAGTGGGGGGGGGGGGGGGGGGGGGGGGGGGGAGGAGGAGTGAGACTTTTCAATAATAATGCTAATTGGATGTCCTATTTTTAATGTCAGATTTTTGTTCTTAACATGTTGGAGACAAACTTGATTAATTCCCTCGTTTTAACACTTGAATTTTGGTAACTTTTAATGTTATTTTGTCAGTGTCTACACATGACTTCCAGTTAACTCATGACCATTTTCAAACCATGTTATTTGTTGTGTAAAATATATTGCATTGACCAGGAGGGGCAAAATGCAGTTAAATGTCGTTATATTTAACCTACCTTTTCCCCAATTTAAATGTAATGAGATCAAATCTATGTGGTCTGCATGTGTTTTATTTGATATTTGCATGTGATTAGTTATCATTGTGTTTAGTGTTTTAATGTTCACTGTTTTTGTTAACTTTTTCCTTCCTTTAACAGAAACTACAGTGACATAACTGTATATAGATTTGTCTTGTATAGCTTCAGAAACCATTTCTCTAGAGGTTTATCTAAACTTGTTGGGCAGTTCAACTTCTAATTTCTCAGTGTTCTGAATAATGGGATTTTACTAAAAACTTGCTTGATTTATTACATCTTTGATTGCTTGAATCTTTGCATTAGGAAACCATTTCAGGCTCAGACTGAAATGAAAATTCACTGTTATTTCATGAACTTTTTTGACTCCTTGTATTCCAAACCAGTCAAATGTTGAGTGAAACAAGAATTTACGCTTATTTTCTGACTTACAATCAGCTGAAAGATGATTATTACATATTTTGTGTGAAATTTAAACATGAGATGATTATTACCTGTATTCAGTTGTTTAATCACTGCAAGAAAGAAAATAAATAGTTCCTATATCATGTGATTTGTGTTATGTGACATGTGTTTAGTTGCTGAATTGATTCAGTTGAGTATTGGTTTGATATAAGGGACGCAGAGCTGCTGAACCTCATGTGATGGTGCTGGACCGCCACTCATACTGGTCAACAGCCATTTTTACACCTCTGTGTCATCGTAAAAGAAAAAAAAAGGTTTACAGCCAGATGCCTGACCAACTAAGGTGGAATCATTATTTCCTTCAAAATCAGAATGCATCTGCTTGAGACTGGATGAACTAACAATCTGCACACACATAAGCCAGATTTATCAAATGGATGTGAATGCAGAGCTCAGTTCTTAGAACAAGACTATTGCGGACAAAGAACTAGGAGTTTTCGTCGGTGAATGCAAAGAAGTTTTGACATGAGAATATAACACTAAATGATAATACGTTTAGACAGTTACAACTGGTAATTTTGTTTAACTATAAGGGTCACATGTTGTTGGCGACTGGAAGATTTATGGAAAGAGAAATAAAGGAAGAAAATGTGAGCAGATTCTAAATAATTGTGTGGCTAGAAGGGGTGTCAGTACTTACACTTGTATATTGCTGTTGGAGGTCTGAAGTTGTGGAGTGGCTTGAATGCTTACGGCAGTTGGCAAGGCACTCAGTGATGATGAAGGATGCAGTTCCTCTCCTGTGTGATGACCAACTCGAAGATGCCATACATGTCTACTGGTGTATTGTCCATTCTTTTCCGTGATGGATCTAGTTCATATACCTGCTGGATAAAATTTTCAGCCTTGGCCATCCAGGAGCAACCTCTTTTGAGACACATTCCTTGTGGTCATGTATAGCTTTCTGCAGTAGGCGATTAGTGTCTGCCATCACCCTTATGTACGCCTTGATCTGTGCAGCTTTGTGTCTGTTAGCCATTGTCGGCAAACCCAAGACAGACTGCATGACAGGAGATGTTTTTTATACAGCCGAATATGAGCACCTCATTTTCTACCTGATCCAGTTTTTCTAGCTGGTTTCTGCTGACAGTAAAGATGCTAGGCAAAAAACTTGATGAAGGGTGATGGGAAAAAAAGTTAAGCCGTACTGAACCATCAATCCAGTCACTAATATAACCACCTTGAACAAGACAAAGAAGAACCCTGACTTATCACAACAATGTCGCTTGTGTTAAGGTCGAGAGGATTGACTTATTGCACCAGGTTTTCTCCCATATGGCTCAGTCTCCCTTTGCAGAATGACGAGCCACCTACAAAGAGCAAAAACAAAGCACAAATACCGTGGCACCGGTGATGATCCCCAGGAATCTCTGTAAAAATTGTACTCATGAACTGAATAAAGCAGCCCTGAAATTAACCTATGACCTTTAGAGCATAATATAATTCTGCTGCAACACAAAAATCCCTGAATGAGTTGTATACCGGGAAGGCTAACCTGGTCAACAAATGCCCGTAGAAGTCGGATGTGTTGGCCGAAAGGTGCAAATATCACAGCCATGCTGTAAATGGACACAACGCAATTACATCTTCGGATGAACGCAGAAGAAGTTATAGATGGCAAAATGAGACAAATGACCCTTTCAAAGGCAATATTCACGAAACAATGAGGGCAAATGAGAAGAAAACAGAAAATCCTGAATTGGTATTGTTAAAGAGTGGATAGGATGTAGTACTTTCATACATGTGCATGTTTTTGCAGAAAGATGGCAGTGGGGGATTCTGACTGTTGGTTCTCCAATCATGACACTCCTGATCACCCAGCTATGTAAAGGACTACTGCCAACGGCCAACTACTCCCTTTATTATATCACTTTTGTGGTGTAGGCAGGGGGCTCTTTGAGCTTGAGGATTTATGGCCACATGGCTAGTGCTGTCGCCATGACTGTGCAGGTGGGGATTTTATTTTTACTTCTTTACCAAGGATTTGAACCCGGGTATCCCACTTGCAAGCCCAGCAGTGTAATCGTTCAGCCAGCCCGTCCTCAAAGGACTACTGAGGTCCACAATTTGTAAATTCAGGACATAAAAATTAGTAAAAAAGCACGAAGGAGTTAAAAATCTGGCCAGCAATGCCACTATATAAGAGGGTCAATTAATAGACTGAGCTGATATGGAAGCTCTCTGAGAGACCAGTGGAAACATGGACATCAATAGCTGGAACGCATGCAATCTAGACTGAAGATCAATATGACCAGGGAAGAGAAACATTCAGCATGTGAAGGATCTCATCAAACAACATCAGATGGGCACAATGCTGAAGTCTTTAATATGGAGAAACAAAAAAATAAGAGATGTGCAGGAAAGGCACAGAAAAGGAATGCATATCCTAACACCAATACAACATAGGACAGCTTGTGGAACTGCCACGGCATAAACTTGAGCCGGGACAAAATCTCGACCCGGTGTGATCTTTGTATGTACTAAATGAAAAAGTAATGAATGTATAAAAATAAATAAATATTATTCACATTATTGCTTTTAATAAATGTAGGTAAGAGAGGTAAAAACTGTATACACCAGGGTGTTGAATGGTTGTAGACCATGAGGCAGACCAAGAAGACGATGGAGAGATACTATCCAGACAGACCTACAAACACTTGGTGTTACCAACTGAAATGAGAAAGGCCAACCAGAGAGATGAATGGAGGCTGGTGATATCTGCAGCAGTGAACCTCAAGGGCTGAAGAAGATTTTTGTACTTGAATTTATGTATAATTTTGTACTTAAAAAAAATTTGCCTTTTTTACGTGAAAATGCCCCGAAAATTAGCTTTGGAGCAATAGTTAATATAAAACTTGATCTTATTTTCAAGAAAAACGTTATAGGAAAAATGAACTACAAGAATGCAAATCCTAGTCAGTTTTCACATGTTTATTAGAACCAGTCAAATGAAATGGGTAATCAAATTGTTATATATGGCCTACAAAATGAAGGCACCCACAGATACCCACACTACAGTACTTCTCACAGATACCCACACTACAGTACTTCTCACAGATACCCACACTACAGTACTTCCTACAGATACTCACACTACAATATTTCCCCAGATACTCGCTGGGGTACTACTTCAACAACATAATAAACATTTACGCTCAACAAGGCACACTTTGGGACCCCAAAAAAATGTTTCAATGAAAGTGTTATCCATGTTTCAGTGTATCTCCTTAACTACTACTATATGCACATGAAACTAGAGCCAATCAACCTTTAACTTATCCTAATTTTTATAAATAAACTGCCGAAAATTAAAATAAAAAAAAAAATCCACTAATATTACAGACATGTCTTTCGGTTAAAACAATGTCAGCTAAAAATAATCTTGAAGCCTGAACATGCAAAATAAAAATACATAAGGCAGCTGCTGGATGTGCCAACACTAACTGTCCCACACAAGAAAAAAAAAGGGGGGGGGGATATTTCCCATGAAATCCACAGCTACAACATGAATCAATCATACCTCAAATGTCTTTTTTTTTTGTTACAGTCTAATGAACAACTTCAGACAGGGGGGGGGGGGATATTAGTTTCACCCCTTCAAGACCAGAAAATTTGTCAGGAGATTCACAAACAAGAAAATGGCAACTTGGTCATATTCTTTAAAAAAAAAAAAAAAAAAAACAATGGAAGTAACTAATGGTGATGCCAGATCTCCTGAGCATGCTGTGACCAAGTGTAAGAAGTAAAATAACGCATCATGTGATGGTTGGAATTAACAAAAAAAATAAAAAAAAATAAATGACACATCCTCGTTCATTTCATAAATTCAATAAGTATTTCGAAAAAAGTTAACAAAACACATCACTAGAATCGACAGAATTGAACTGTTTTCACAGACTGAATATTGACATCTTTAGAGCAAAAATGGTGTAAGTCTTTTCTATGCCCAACATCTCACTTGGTACATGAGGTGTTATAATTTTATAGACCACAAATCATTTAATAGCTGCTGGTTTTAATGGCTGGTAAATTACATTTAACCATGAACATCAAAATACATACATGATCCATAAAAGGCAAGCCATACAATAGTACTGAGTGCATTCAACAAGCAGAAGTACTGCACACAAATCATACATCATTCACCAACATTGCAATAGCTCAAATGAAAAAAAGAAAATGCAGGAAAAATGGAGTCTGGTGAATTTCTCTCAGCTTTTTGATAACTTGGCTTTCTTACGTTTAGATGGTGGTGAAGACACATGGCTTTCCTCGTAGCTCTCATATTCATCATCATCATCTCTGTCGGTCAACAAAAAATTGGCGGGCAACAAGGATTTCCCAACTGCCTGAGACTTCTGAAGTGCCTTGACTGAAACACAGTAATGAAGAATTATTTATGATGTTATTAAATGTACAAGGAATGCGCCACGAAACTAGGAGAAAGGTCCAATTTTGGTTTACAAATGCCTGAGACTTCTGAAGTGCCTTGACTGAAACACAGTAATGAAGAATTGTTTATGATGTTATTAAATGTACAAGGAATGTGCCACGAAACTAAGAGAAAGGACCAATCTGGGTTACAAATGCCTGAGACTTCTGAAGTGCCTTGACTGAAACACAGTAATGAAGAATTGTTTATGATGTTATTAAATATACAAGGAATGTCCCGTGAAACTAATAGGGAAGACCAATCTGGGCAACAAAGGCAGGGTGTATCTGTAGGTGCAAATATCACAGCTAGATGGTAAACAGGCAAAACATATTTACATCTTCAGATGAACACAGAAGAAGAAATATACAAGGTAAATTATAACTCGTCATCTTTCACAGTAGACATCGCAGATTCAACAAACACTGATATAAATCCGTTAGGAGCCAAACAGCCCATTGCCAGTGGCATTGTGCTGAACAGACTTCTGAAAATGTGCTGCAAGACTGTCCTCTCCTGGAGAAGCTGCGAAACAGCTTGTGGCCACACCCACAGACCTTACAACTAAGCTTAGAAGATCTTGAGCTGACATTCCAGTTTATGATCCACAGTGGGCTGAGCACATGAACAGAGATTGCTGTTGATTCGAACCATGACAATCGATATTGCAGAAATTTGGAATAAAAAACATCTCTGGTGTCGTAGAAATATGTCTACTAATAACCGTGAGTAAGAGAGAGGACTCTCCTCAAGTAGATGTCACACTTTTTTTGCCTCCAGAGAAAGGCAGAACTCTACCAACATGATGCTACACTGCCCTATGACTATGGAGGGGGGGGGGGGGGGGGGGGCATATTTTTACCTGGTCTTTAATGTTTCGTCAGAGTAGGCAGGTCTTCTCTGGTACTGTTCTGCCTCTCAGCGTCAGGTTTTGAAGAGGCATCGCGTGCGAACCTTGGTATGTGTTACATAGTTGCTGGTATTTATGGCCAGCGTTATTCCACTTATCCATTACTTGTGATCAACTTCTGGCTCTGTTTCCATTATGACTAAGGGCTCTCTGTGGTGTACTGTCTGAGAAAGTCCTGATACATGTCCAAACCACTTGATCTGTTGCCTCTTGATGTAGTGTAGTAGGTAACATTATCAGCAGATATGTTGTGTTTAGAGGGATACAACAGCTAAATCATGACAAAGTGAAAGCATAGGAATATATCAGCTGTTCTACCATGACAAATAAGACACATAAATTGCCAAGCTGCTCTCAGATGAAACAGCGAAGAGGCAGGGGAGAAAAGTGATCTTCAAAGTCCAAGACAAACAACTTGATAACTTTTTTCTCAGAAACATCCCAAAGTGATAGATAAAAAAGCCTGTTTCATAAAATGTTTAGTTTAGAAACCTCTACACACAAACATTCACAATTTGTACAGAATTTGTAACAATTCATTTAGATAGCCAGGTGGCTTCTTGAAGAGGTTATACTTACTCTGAGCTTGCAGTTCCTCATTTTGATGTTTGAGAATATTTATATGCCGATCATTCTCTGTAGTCTTATCTCTCATTGTAGCAATATAAAGTGCAGCTTGCCTCAAGATCTGTGCTCGAGAAGTCTGCAGAAATCAAATAATTAACTTCATAAGTACAAACCTATATACCAGTAACTTTTCAAGGCTACACTTGTAATATTCATATAAGTAGCATAGCCAGCTTTCTTTTCTACACCAAAATGAACTAAAACTTTTGGGACTAAGGCAATATCACCAAGAACAATAAAAGTAGTTCTTTCTCTCTGCGTTCACCAGCTGAAAAATCTGGCGAAAAGTTCTGATTGTTCATCCATTTCTGGACTTTGGTCTTGTTCCAGAACTTGCGTGCACATCCATTTTTACAGATCTGAAGAAGGTTGCTTCACTGTCTCTCAGGCAGATGCACTCTGATTTCAAAGGAAACTTCCCTAATTAGTAATCTTATCGTTAAGGAGTCTGCAGGTCTATACTTTTTTTTAAATCCTAGAATGTAGCCTTGGAACCCACAAGGGGATAATAAATGTTCAAAACCCTGGAATAAGAAACCACTATGTCTTGTATAAGATATCATTTGTCTTGTCAAATAGGGTAGGTGCCTGTCTCTCCAAAGATTTTGTTCAGCTGTTCTGTTTGATCCCTGTTGCAGACAATTTGTCTTGCGTGTGTTTTGACAATGGTACCGAGAGCTGACAGTACAGTAAGCAATGGCAAACTACTGAACACAAAATTTGCCTAGAAAAACCACAAGTAAAAAAATGCTGGGGTTGGTTCTGCAACATCCTGTAAAGGATACGTAACAAACTAACTTATGCTAGCCTCTTTTCCTCATCTTCATCTTGTTGTGTCTATATATTTCACACATGGCTTACAGTCTTTAGTTCAACTCTACCCTCTGCAATCTTTTTTCACATCCTGAGCCTCTCAACCACGTTCGTCTTAGGATGCAACTGAAAACCATAAAAGCTGGGTCCAGCAGCTGAAAACTATAAAAGCTGGAAGCAGGAGCTGAAAACTATAAAAGCTGGAAGTAGGAGCTGAAAACTATAAAAGCTGGAAGCAGGAGCTGAAAACTTTAAAAGCTGGAAGCAGGAGCTGAAAACTATAAAAGCTGGAAGCAGGAGCTGAAAACTATAAAAGCTGGAAGCAGGAGCTGAAAACTATAAAAGCTGGAAGCAGGAGCTGAAAACTATAAAAGCTGGAAGCAGGAGCTGAAAACTATAAAAGCTGGAAGCAGGAGCTGAAAACTATAAAAGCTGGAAGTAGGAGCTGAAAACTATAAAAGCTAAGTCCAGCAGCTAAAAACTATAAAAGCTGGAGCCAGCATGCAGTTAAAAAATCACCCCAAAATCAGGGTTTCTTTCCTGGCAATATGCAATACTGCCAGCTTTTTAAAGGCATTTTTTTTCCAGCGTTACAGTAATAGACAATTTGTGATGGGTACCAGCACCTGTTTAAAAAATTATTTAGTGAGAACCATCTTTTTTCTTTTTGCTTATGGGAATGCCCTGAGTGCTATGATGTAGGTTCTTGAATCAAATCAAATCTGTTTTCTTTCTTTAAAAAAAAAAATCCCTGCCTTAAACAAATGTGATGCATTCACAAACATAGATAAAGATTATATATAAGAAGGCACTATATTTTCTATAACAGAAACAGATAATCTTACCTTGCTTGATGTGTTTGACTGAAAGCAAAATGTGAAAAGAAACATCAGACAAGTGGAAATTCTATAGAAACATTATAATGTAATAGCAGGGTTTATGAATGTCTAGTGGTCAGCAGTTGTGAATGTCTAGTGATCAGCAGTTGTGAATGTCTAGTGATCAGCAGCTGTGAATGTCTAGTGGTCAGCAGCAGTGAATGTCTAGTGGTCAGCAGCAGTGAATGTCTAGTGGTCAGCAGCAGTGAATGTCTAGTGGTCAGCAGCAGTGAATGTCTAGTGGTCAGCAGCAATAAATGTCTGGTGGTCAGTAGTTACGAATGTCTGGTGGTCAGCAGCAGTGAATGTCTAGTGGTCAGCAGCAGTGAATGTCTGGTAATCAGTAGCAGTGAATGTCTGGTAATCAGCAGCAGTGAATGTCTAGTGGTCAGCAGCAGTGAATGTCTAGTGGTCAGCAGCAGTGAATGTCTAGTGGTCAGCAGCAGTGAATGTCTAGTGGTCAGCAGCAGTGAATGTCTAGTGGTCAGCAGCAGTGAATGTCTGGTAATCAGTAGCAGTGAATGTCTAGTCAGCAGCAATAAATGTCTGGTGGTCAGTAGTTACGAATGTCTGGTGGTCAGTAGCAGTGAATGTCTGGTGGTCAGCAGTTGTGAATGTCTGGTGGTCAGTAGTTGTGAATGTGTAGTGGTCAGGAACTGTAAATGTCTAGTAGTCAGCAGCAGTGAATGTCTAGTGATAAGTAGCAGTGAATGTCTAGTGGTCAGCAGTTATGAATGTCTAGTGATCAGTAGCAGTGAATATCTAGTGGTCAGTAGCAGTGAATGTCTGGTGGTCAGTAGCAGTGAATGTCTGGTGGTCAGTAGTTGTGAATGTCTGGTGGTCAGTAGTTGTGAATGTGTAGTGGTCAGGAACTGTGAATGTCTGGTGGTCAGTAGTTGTGAATGTCTGGTGGTCAGTAGCAGTGAATGTTTAGTGGTCAGCAGTTGTGAATGTCTAGTGATCAGTAGCAGTGAATGTCTAGTGGTCAGTAGCAGTGAATGTCTGGTGGTCAGTAGTTGTGAATGTGTAGTGGTCAGGAACTGTGAATGTGTAGTGGTCAGGAACTGTGAATGTCTGGTGGTCAGTAGTTGTGAATGTCTAGTGGTCAGGAACTGTGAATGTCCAGTGACCACAGGTTGTGAACGTGGAGTGGTGAGCACATGTTTCTGTCAATAAATCAAGTCAAGGTCTCTTTACATGCCAGTGCCACATGAGGCTACTCATATTGTGATAGACCAACTGGTCCTCGACGGGCGATGTTGTCAACCTCGCATCGGTCATCTTTACCTTGCAGGACTTTGCCCGGCACCTATTTTGAGTCTGGAGCCACCTAGGAGTCATGTTTCTTCTTCTTCTTCAGCGATCTCTGGCCATGCGCATAATCCACTACGTCCATAACATGGGATCTCATCTCAAGGATTTTAGGTTTCCCCAAAGCTTAGTTGTCAGGTCTATGTGATTTTGTATTTCAGCGAAAAAGGATTAATTTTTTATGCTCCATTATGTGTTGATTTAACTCTATAGTACGGCACCTGACGAGATAAAGCGAACAATGCCAGACAATAATTTGTGCAATTGTAATATATTATCAGATTATTTATAATTATAAAGTATTCCTCTTTTTCTTCACGTTTACCAGCTGTAAACTCCAGTGGAAAGTTCTGGTTGTTTGTCTACCTCTTGTTCCAGAACCTGAGTGTTGCTGGCACATCCTTTCAACAAATTTATTTGTATGCAGATTGCTGGTTCCTTGCTTCTCAGGCAGATGTACTCTGACTTCGAAGGAAACCCCCAATCAGTCGACTTCTATGACATGCTTGTTGGGGATGCACTGAGTCTACTCTAGTTTCCCCCACATAGGGCCCCGGAACTCACATGGGGAATACAAATATTCATAAAAACCTTGGCGACCTCAAGTGTTCACCAAATAATGACACAAGAATGCTAGCAGTGCTCAATAATAACCTTATCATCATGGGGAACACAATCCCGCAGGCTGTGAAAGCTATCCTTGATGTGATCGCGACGCTTTCGCTCCAGGGCATTGTGATGTGCTCTTTTGTCATCCTGGAAAAAACATTGTCAAACACGTAAGCAAAAGAGACGGCATCACTGTTTCTTTTCAATCTTATGGTTACCATAAACTGTCACAGAAACAAGACTTTAACTGTCACAGAAACAAGTCATAAATCGTCGTCTTCTTTTTTCGTTACATTTTTACCAGGTTTGTAGCCCAGTGTCGTAGTCACTAAAGTTAGATAAAAATCAGTGTCAGATAAATAATAATTTGTCAGAGAAACAACCATAATCTGTCACAAAAACAAATGCTACGTTTTTTTCAGAAACAATCATCATTTGAGCATAGCATTTTGGTTTTTGGCAGAATCAATTTTCTAGTTACTTGTATGTTCATTGCTGAGGTTGCTGTATCGTACCGTAGGGCTGAGAATACACAATATTTGACAAGTCTCATTTTTATAGTATTGTCAATAATCTTATTGAAGACATTTTAGCCATGTATATTCTCTTTTAATTTCAGTGACACGCCTGCCATGTTATTTCATATCCATGATTGGAGCAATTTGCTACCTGTTCTAGATCCTCTGTTTACTGTGATATTCACTGCTGACTGGAGCAATTTGCTACCTGTTCTAGATCCTCTGTTTACTGTGATGTTCACTGTTGACTGGAGCAATTTGTTACCTGTTGTAGTTTCTCTCTGTTTACTGTGATGTTCACTGTTGACTGGAGCAATTTGATACCTGTTCTAGTTTCTCTGTTTACTGTGATGTTCACTGTTGACTGGAACAATCTGCTACCTGTTCTAGTTCCTCTGTTTACTGTTGACTGGAAAAACTGGCTACCTGTTCTAGTTTCTCTCTGTTTACTGTGATGTTCACTGCTGACTGGAGAAACTGGCTACCTGTTCTAGTTCCTCTGTTTACTGTTGACTGGAAAAACTGGCTACCTGTTCTAGTTCCTCTCTGTTTACTGTGATGTTCACTGTTGTCTGCTCCTTTACATAGTTAATAATCCTTTTTTGTTTTTAAATCTATTTATATTGCATCATAAAGAATACTAAAAACAGGGCAAGATTAAAAATGCAATAAGAAAATAAAACTTACAGAGCTGTATGCATGAGGGCCTTCCTCATCGTCCTGGAAATAAAACATGTTAAATCAGTTTACTATGAAATATAGTGCACTCTTTCTGCATTACTACACTTCCTATTTGTTTGACTAATATAAAACATGGTTAATTCTGGCAAGAATTGTAACAGTACAAGCAAGAAGTGCTGTCACTGATTCTAACACTGCTGGTGATGATATGTTTTACAGAAAAAGAGTTAGTGGAGATTTCAGATTCTGAGCTCTCTTTTGTTGGAAGTAGGGAGCTTTGATAGCACAGCTGTCATGTTCCAGTTCACATATAGGCATGATTACTGTTTCACCAACCAGGGCTTGTATGTCAATCCAGCTAAAAATGTGCAGCCGGCTAAGGGGTGTATACTGGCCCTTACCAACAAACTCACAAGTTTATGAGACTAAAATAAAACTCTACTAAAAGTCCATTTTATCATACGAGTTCATCGGTCAGTGTTAAATTCAGGGATGTGCTCATAAGATGAAATGGCTATCCTCCGACAAACGGTCGGCAAAGGTGGCGCCGACAAAATATCCAGCCGAGCCGCGGTCACGGGTCATTGCGCGCTTGGGGTCACGGGTCAATTGCGCGCTTTCGGCGACAATGGCTACCGCCACGTGGCCCCCCCCCCCCGCGCCGCTAACGCGGCGTGGATTGAGGCTAAACTAGATGGATAGGACTCACAAGCAAAGCTGCAGGAGATGCAGAAGCTGATGCTTGTGAGTACTAGCCATCTAGTTTAGCCCCATGGCGGTAGCGGTTGTTGGCAGAAACCCGCCGGAAGACCGCAAATTAAGTAGCCGGAAGCGCGCAATGACCTGTGACCGCGGCTCAGCTGGATATTTTGCAGCCGCTATCTTTGCCGACCGTTTGTCGGAGGATAGCCGATGAAATTATATCACTGATTTTCTCAATCTTCTCAGCGTTCACTGGCTGTAAACTTAGACAGCAGCATCTTAGAAGGCAACATCTCTAATAAGTTGCACTGTACGACATGAATCTAACATACACAGGGCTATGTTCAACCTGTGACCCATCAGGCAGATGATACTAGACTAAAATTTTATCGACGACACAGTCGGCAATGTGACAGGGTCAACATCAGGCTAGCCATCTTGACTTACAAGAACACTTTTGGTACGCATTTCAGGTTTTGTCAACCTGGGTGAGCCCAAATCAATCTTTTTCTTTTAGCCTGATGCAGATTTCCTCCCCTTTAACCATCAACATAATGGTTTTGGTCACTTTCCAAAGAACAATGTGATGTTGGTCACTTTCCAAAGAACAATGTGATGCAAGCTTGAAATTATATATTACTGTGACAGAAACCAATTACAAACAAAAAATTGTTTCGCTGACTTTCTTCACTCTGATTTACAATTTGAAATTTGCATCACACTGCTCTTAGCAAAGTGACCAAAACCATACTAGACGGTTCAAAAGGAAAGGAAATCTGTTAATTCTTTGCTCTGTATTTGGTAACTGCTATAGACAGTGACTGGGAAATGATGTTAAATGGAAGAAGCAGAGGACTACATGCCCACTCAGCGGTCTAAGGGTTCGGTCCCTGGATATTTATCAAAACTGCCCAGGGTTCAAAATTTCTTGTTCTCTTTTAGTATTTTAGGGTTAGGGTTTTAGAAAATTATAAGGATTCATTTTTTTAAAACGAAATCTGAAAAAAAAAAACCCTTCTTTAAAGATGAGTACGGGGCAAAAAGGAGTAGGAAAAAAAAGAAAGAATATTTATATCTGAAATAAGAGAAGATAAACGTTAAATAAAGATGCTGGACTGTACTACATCCATGATAAAAAAGACTGTAGGAATGAATCATCAGTTCTTGTTATGCCTAGTGGCACATGAGGCTTCAGAGAGGACTTTCCATGCTTTCCTGCCCTGTGCAATCTCCAGTGCAGTTTTCCATGTCAAAGATGCCGCACTCAGGTCACTTTCCGCCATTCGTCTCCATGTTGTTTTTGGGCGTCCCTGTTTTCTCTTTCCCTCTGGTGTCCATGTGAGAGCTGTTTTGGCAGGTATATCAGGATTCATTCTCATAACGTGGCCAAGCCATTTCCATCTTCTCTTGGTTATATTGTCTTAAGTTTTTTTGGTTTGTGACTTGAAGTGGTTTAGTGTTTGAGATTGTATCTGGCCAGAAAATTTTGATAATTCTACGTAGACATGTGTGGTGGAAGGTGGACAACTTGTGTGCATTTTTTTTTTTTTTTGGTTATTCTCCAGCATTTCGCTCCATAAAGAAGAACTGGCAAAATGATGCTCTTGTAGAGACGGAGTTTTGTTCCTCTGCAGTAATTGTTGGATTTCCAGATTTGCCTCATCCTTCCAAAAGCAGCTCTAGCTTTGTTCAGACGTGACTGTATGTCCTCTTCGGTACCTCCCCACAGGGACACCACACTGCCACGATATGTGAAATGTTCTACATTTTCAAGAGTTTGGTTATTTATGGTCACTGGTTGTTGGTTTGGACTGCTTGTCATGATCTTAGTTTTCTTTGTATTTATTCTCAGTCCCACCATTTCTGCTGTGCTGTGTAGACTGTTACTTTTTTCTGGTATATGTTCATGTTTATGTGATAGGAGTGCTATATCATCTGCAAGATCAAGGTCCTCAAGCGTGGTCCACCGTACGCCTCTCAATGTTCTGTCTACTGTGTTCTTTAGTATCCAATCAATCACAAGGTTGAAGAGGAGAGATGACATAACATATCCCTGTCTTACACCTGTCTTAAGTGGGAAAGATGTAATTTTTTATACTGCAAGAAAAGTCTTCATAGAAGAGAGCAATTATGTTGACTTATTTTTTCTTGAATTCCATGTCGTAAAATTTGCCATAGACTGTCTCTTTGGACGCTGTTAAAAGCTTTCTCAAAGTCCACAAAATTAATATATATACTGTAGGAATGAATGGTATGGAAGAATAGGCTGAGCATTATGGGACACATTATTGGATGATGATACTCAGACTGAAATGACAGAGCTCTATTAATATTGTAAATACATGTTCATACTCATACATTCAGTGACTGTAGTAGTACTGAATGAAGTAGAAGCAGCATTCTTCACTCATGTTATGTGAACAACTAATAAGTAACAGAAATACTTTATGCAATTTTAACCCAATCATCTGAAAAACAAAAATATGGGGTCGTGAACCCGGGATTTCGCTTTAAAAAAAAATTGATTAACTAAATTATTTATAATTTATGCAGACTACTAAAAAAATTTTTATTTATACATATTTTTTTCTGGACAAAAAAAGGGAGGAGGCAATCAATACGCACAAAGTCAAAGTAAAGACTTAATTCAATAATATCCTATTCCCTTGTGCATTAACCAAATGTAGCGGGTGCCTCATAGCAATGTCATTTATTCATTCTATAACTATTGCTTTACCTTTACAGCCATTTATGAATTAGCATTATGTGAAGTGAAAGTGCCTGTTGATAACTTCTGGATTCATCCACCATTCATAGAACAAATCCATAAGTCTAAGTATATAATAATGACTATTTATTTGGACAATAAATAAATAATCAGTACCTGTTTTAATATAATACAGTTGTAAAACATTATTTTAAAAATTAAATACTGATTAACTAAAAAAAAAGCATTACTATTTAGTTAACTGTAGTTTTGCAAAACCCTAACAGTAATTTACATTTTAAAATGCCGCTTGGGCTTTGGCATCATTAAAAAATCTGATATATATATTATTTGTTATTTTATTAATTATTGAAACATCAATGAACTTTTTCGTTGTGTCTATTATTTTAAATGACATTGTTATTGGTGGGTAGAAGAAAACTGACTGTATATCATTTTTATTATCTAGTTTAGGAAGGGAAATGACAGAGTATTATCTCTTCAGGATAGGCAACGATTGAGTGATGTCAGCTGTTCTCTTGGCGCACACCCATGACGATCGCCAACCACGACGACATGTTCCCTGCTCACACTTTTCTCCGTGTTTACAAACTATGAAGACACACACAACGGCCTCCTAATAGCTTTTTTTTCAACTTACGGCATCACTTTCGATGTCAATATCTCTGTCTTCGTCACTCATGGCTTCAAAACACAATAACTACAGCTAGAACAGTTGACTGTCAGCAACACAGTTCCCACATCCAGCCCTGGCAAACAGACCCAAACCTCGACCGACATGTGCCCGCTCACGTGGTTTCCCATCATGTTTATCAACAATACCACAAATTATAATTATTTTTTATTCTTTCGTACAATTTTAATAGTATATTATAAAATTAGAGAAAAAAATTATGCTGAAAATTAAAATTAATACATATTCCTCTGTTTACTTTGAGCGTAACTTTCGAAATTGATTACGTTACAGAGGTTATTTTTAGACTAAGCGTGGACCACTGCCTTATATGGCGGATACAAGTGGTTTGTGTTTTGTTAAAGTGCACAGGAAGTGTGACAATCAAAAAAAGGACATGAACAAACCACCAAAGTTTCAATGACGTCTTTTAAGGAATAAAAACAATGGATATGTGTCTTAACACAAAGTAAAACAATCTAAATCCAACCGATGTGTCGTTTGTTAAAATCCCTGACAAAAGTGAGATGTTATTTAAATGGACACACGTGTTTTCTAAGTCGACCAAATTTGGTACAGCAAATGTTCTGGAAAGAAAAATTATCAGTATACCATGGACAGAGAAGAGAAAAAACGTCAACATTCTACACGAGTTAAACATCAAGGAGAATTGGTTCATAAACAGCATCCTGTCCCTAAAGTTGAAGTATTTTGGCCTCATCAAACGTCATGGTGGCTTGGAAAAGACGGTGATGGAGAGTGCAGTTTGTGGAAGGCGAGGCAGGGGTCGTCCTCTGCAGGATGAATACAGGACACTAAAGATGCTTTGACACAGAAAGCACATGGGGCTGGAGAGCTGGCTAGGGAAATGGAGACTTTCAGGAGGGCAGTGAAGAGAGCGACGTTCTGTAAAGTACTTGCTGATTGGTGAGATAAGTATCAGCAAATATTACAGGCTATAAATGGTGACTGTTCTAATAAGTGTCAGATGTGATGTTGTTCCATTTCAGCGCTTAACTTGGTTATGTTTGTGCAAAACATATTTTACGTACTTAGTCAATCCTCTTCTATCTTGGGGTTTAGAGGTTTGCAGAGAGATCGTCAGATCTTCCTATCAATATTGATAGGTGCAAAACATTCTCGTATGTTTTTTGAAGACCTTGCTTCCTTCCTTCCAAACACGGAATTAGGACAAAACAAAAATGTCGATAATACCCTTTCGGCCCTCTCTCAATACCTATCGCAGCTATCCAATGTGTCTTTCGTTTGATTTCTGTTTTAGGTTGTATTCTTATCAGTTTTTTTTTCCTCTCTTGTTTTCCCTTTTCTTTCTCTGAGTTATGCGTTTGAAAACATTTTAGCTAAATTGTTCTCATGTTTTCTCAACGTGTGTCCGATCCACCGCATGCGTTCTCTCCCCAACCCCTTCCACACACACACACACACACACACACACACACACACACCTCTTCATTCACTGAAAATTTCTCAGTTCTACCCCATGGCTCACACACACTGACTGATAAATTTATCAACTACATCGTAATTTAAACAGGAAAAATCAGACAAGCAGCAAATGGCGACCGACAGATAAATTTCCAGGCAGAAACCTTCGAAGAAAGGAACCAGCATAGAGACGCAGAGAGAGAGAGAGAGAAAGAGAGAGATGCCTTCTCATCCGAGGGGAAAAGTAGACAGCTACATCAGGCATCCACCAGAGCAATACAGCAAGAGGACGACGCTTTTCCGGCTTCAATAAAACTGAAGCAGACCAGCTAAGTTGATAGCCCTGTCAGCCATGGTGATAATAAACATGATTGAAGGCTTGTTGGGAAAGCAACAGAACACTACATCCCAAAATTACTTCAGTGCTCTTTTTGCCAAAAGGCCTTTCACACCAGAAGCAGTTGCCACAGCCAACTGGAAATTTGCACTGTTCCGGCACACATCCTTACAGCGAGTGCATCCTAGCAAAGAAAGGCAAGGATTATAGAAAGCTAAACATTAATAGACAATGCGCTAACTGCTTCGGGAACAACGGATCAAGATATCTCGTCTGCCCGTATATCGAAGAATGCATGAAGACAATAAAGACGGTAGTAGTCGACAAAATTCCTGAAAATGTCGCAAGAAGGAGAAGCGAAGCAGTCCGATGTATGTCAGCCATCGAAAGAAGGCGACTTCAAACAGAGATCAAGGAACCGAAGAAGCAGCTAAGCAACTTACGGCCTATACAGAAAGTAAGCACGGCAGACAAGAACACAGTAACTGAGCTCAGGGAGATGCAGAACACAGACAGGGGAAAAGGCACCGGGATTTAGAAACCAAAGCAGCAGCACAAATCGCAGGCTACATAGACGGTGAAAGTAACAACAACAACAACAAAAGGTCACCGATGATGTAGACAAGAAGATTGCTGACCTGAAAGAGTTGCAGGCCTCGTCCAGAGAGACACAGAAACAACTTTAGAGAATCCGCAGAGAGTGCAACGCTACAATGAAGAAAACTGACAACAAGCAACAACTTCAGACGAAAAATAGGATAAAATGCAGACTGCAGTTGATGACTCAGAGATACAGGAAGACGATATCGACGAGGAGAGAAGCTCAGGCAAACAAAGGGCGACTACTGCATGCTACAGCAGCCCCGAAGAAGGCAGCCCGGCCAGACCCAAGATACCGCCTACCAACCAAACCCCATGGAAAACAAGCCAAAGGACAAAACGCAACAGAAGATGCCGGCGTAGCTCTCATCAGGACTAAGCCCTTATCGGGGAGGCGCCAAAGAAAGCAACACGAAACAACCCTCCAGCAGCAGACGAAATAGAAGCAGACACCCGAGAACCTAGCCCGACATCAGCAACTATTCTAGAAGAAAGAAATAAGTTAAAAGACGCGCCGAACGAAACGCAACTTTCAAACAGTCAGAAACAAAATCAAACACCCTAATTATAATTTTTCAAATACATGTTGAACAGGTTCAATTCAAAGAGAGAACAAAAAGTAATATAAACGCCCCCCCCCCCCCCAACCCCGCGTTATCTCCCCTGTGCTAGTAAGCGTTATCTGCCGCAGTTTGCAGCAGGTGGCTCGGTGTGAGTTATATCAAAGTGTGCAGCACGCTACAGTTTGGAGCCATTTATGCAATCATTGGTCTGTGTTCCTCGCACGATGACATAATTGCATTTTAATGTCAAACTATCTCTACAAGGGCGGCCATAATGATTCTTTCAGTTTCTCCCTATTTGTTTGTTATCCCATGGGCCTGTTGGCACTATCGTCTAGCTTTCGTTAATATTAATACTATTCCTGGCTTCGCGCAATCATTGCTGGATTTCCCATTTGTTCAGGAGCATTGTTTTCACATATACATATCCGGGATTTTTTTGTTGTTCTTCTCCTTCTTCTCGTTTACCGGCTGTAAACTCTGGTGGAAAGTTTTGGTTGTTTGCTCACTTCTAGATTTTGGTCTTGTTCTAGAACTTGAGTGCACAACTGTTTTACAGATCTGTCTTGTTTGTATGCAAGCTATGGATTCATTGCCTCTCAGGAAAATGCAATCCTACTTCAAAGGAAATACATAAAATCTTTGCCTTTTACGCATGCTTGGTTGGGGCAGAGGGCCTAAACTTTTTTAAACCCTAAAATGGGGCACTGGAACCCCAACGGAGAAGTAGGTGGATGAAAGTGGAAAAGACAACGAAAGGTATACATAATATAATAGAATTCAAAAATAATGGTGAACAAAGATAAAGAAGTTACTGATTGACAGATTGTACCAGGAGAACTGGACACATCTTGGGAACGTCTCACATTTCGTTTACAAGCAAAAAACAATTAACGGGTAAGAAACGGAGAAATAACCCCCGTTATTAAAATAGAATAGTGCAAATTAACTGGGTCAAAATCAAATGATGGAGATATTTACGGAACAAATGTTCGTGCTGCAGAATGATATTAAAAAAATAGACATAAAATGGTAACACGCACTGTCCGTCCGTCCGCCCGTCCGTCTGTCCATCCGTCTGTCTGTCTTTCTGACTGTCTGACTGAGAGAGATAGAGATATATAGATATATAGATAGATAGAGAGAGAGAGAGAGAGAGAGAGAGAGAGAGAGAGAGAGAGAGAGAGGCAGACAGAGAGACATAAAGTCTTTTGGTCTCTATACCTTTTCTGTAAATTAAGAGTCTTAAAAAATCGATAGTGGTAATCTATGGTGGAGATTTTTGGAAATATTCCAAGTACAAACTCACTAGTGTGGAATCATTCTTGTGAGTATTTTCCAACTGATTCTTTACGTTACAAAAGAGATCTAGTGCGTCGTTATGTCCCCATCTTGTGTTACGATATCCACAAGCTATGCTCACAACAAATCAAACAGTTATATTACACAACAGGGCGATGAAACCCCGCTGCACTATTAACAGGTGTTCTCAACCTATGGGCCGCG